CACGCTTTGAACAGGGGTCTTGTATACTAATGATTTCAAATGTTCCCATAAAAAGAAATCGATAGGATTCATGTCAGGCGATCTAGGCGGCCATGGCTGTGGTCCGCCTCTTCCAATTCATCGATTTGGATAATTATTATCTCTGGATTCTCGCGCAACGACACTGAAATGTGGCCAAGCACCGTCATGCATGTACCACATTCGACGTCGTTCTCTAAGAGGAATTTTCTCTATAAATCCAGGTAGGTCAAATTCCAAAAATCTTCGGTAGTACTCCGCTAAGTCTGAGGGGAAGCAAATCACGGCCAATCAAGTGGACACTAACGATTCCAATCCAAATATTGAAGGAAAAGCCGTGTTGCGTATTATGTTCAATTATGGCATGGTAATTTTCTTCACACCATACATGGTTATTATGGAAATTTATTATTCGTTTTAAAAAATGTTGGTTTAATGTTACTTTTTCACGTAACCAGTTGCAAAAATCAACTCTTATAGGCAAATCTCGAGGCAAAAGCGCTTGTATACGTTGTATATGATATGGATAAAGTTGCTGATCTTTCAAAATTTGCCATACCGTTACATGATTTAAATTTAGCTGGTACGAAATTTTTCGTAGTACCTGTTGTAGCGTCCTCTTCGATTTTGTTAAGCACAGCTTCTTCGATTTGTATGGTTCTTACACTTGCGGGTCTTCCTGCAACATGTGTGGATCTCTTGAAACTGCCTTTTTCACATAATCTAGCTTGAATGTTGATGAAAGTTTGTACATTAGGCACCGGGTGTTGTGGAAATCGATCACCATACAAACGTCGTGCTCGTCGAGCGTTACCCAGAGAGATTCTGTAAACGAAATGCATAGCTTTCATTTCTTGATTACTGAACTGGACCATTATGATAATTAGTAATCACCAAAACTTTTGGAGTCTTGGAATGACCAGACAAGAAAACAAATATTTGTCAGCAGTCGAAATATTTGAGAAAATAAATTAATTCAATTGTTTTCATGTACGTCATAGTTGTCTAGATAAGCACAATGCTTAAATATTAAAAGAATTGCGATCAAAACAAATCAATGTCATGCCATTTTTTCAAAAAATACTGGATAGCATTATCCGTATCTACGTATATGGATGGTCTGAAAACAACTGTAAATCATTTGATATTACCACAGGGCATACATAATTAAAATACGTTCCATTCTTTTATAATTTTTTAGAACAATATCATCGTCTCTTTTAGTACTAATATGCTCTAGCTTGAAAACAAAGCCGTTGCGGACCCATGTTCATATGTAAATTTCGTCTTCAAATTGACCAAGGATTCGATGGTTAAAGTTTGTCTACATACTTTATTAACACCCTGTATAGACTCCATATTAGATTTTGGCACAGCTGAATAGAGTTATCAATTCTGATGCCTTGTTAAGGTGCAATTTATTTTGAAATTCCACTACAAATAAAGCCAGGAAAAAATTAAAACAATTTTGGAAAATTCTGTTTTTTGGTCTCTCTCCGAAAGTACTTTGAATTTCGAAACTGTCTAAGATGCATTTGGTTGATTACCTAAGAAAGCAACTTTACTCCCAATTAAGCGACTTCGAATCTCTTACCGTTTCCGAGATTCCAATGGTGAGGGTCGAATTTGGAACACCCTGTATAGTGTTTTAAGCAAAATCAAGTTTATATCTAACATAGGTTTCAACCAATCCAAGTTATCTCTCATCTAATAGGTATTGATTCAGTTTGTGGAGGACGCTTTACATGACTGATTTAATTTTTGTAAAAAATGTTCTCTTTATTTAATGTTTGCCGAGTTAGGGAAAAGGGGGTGCTACCTCCCTTGCCTCCCTGGGTATGCCCTTGGTGCACGCTTATCTAGAGGAAAGGAAGCGAAGGGAAGGGAAGCGAAACTTTTTCACTGGATTCCGCACCCGTATTACGTAACTGAAAAAGTGACATTATATCGATTTCTAACATTACGTAGATATTTCCCAAAATGTCACCTTGGAACTAGATGTCATCCACTTCATGTCCACTTTAGTATCAGCTATGCGTATTACATAAACGTCATGACACTTGAACTATATGGTTTGACTCCTTTAGAGATGCCACTAGTGGAGGCCAATTATAGCTTCTACGGCTTTAGCTGTAAATTCTATATTATAGGACGTTGTACCCACTCAAAAACTAAAACAAGGGAAAGTTATTGCAGTAAAACCACTAAAAATCTGACAATTTACTATTTATCTTGACCGCCTTTATTCGCATGATACTGACTTCCAACCCTGTAACGAATATGTGCTCTGACACACTATCAAAGTATAATAAATTCCAAACCAAAGTACCTTGGATTTTTATTTGTATTGCAGTTTTCGTTTTGTAAAAAAATGTTTTCTATAAAAATCTATTCTAAGACTCAGGGAAGTTCAGCAACTGTCGGCTGGTGCTTATTTTGTAGAAAAAGTATTGTAGTGGGATGATGGTAAAACAGAATTATTGTCGTACAGTGATTTAAAAAATATAAAAAATTATTTCTACGAGCCCCTTCCCACTTCAGTTGGCTCAACTATTGAAATCTTAGTTTTTTTCTTATCAAACACAAATAATAAAAATGTAGCAGGGTGTTATAGGTTTAAAATATTAACAATGAATATTTTGATAATATATAGTAGAAAACACCAACTTTATCACTGCCTAATCAAATTTGTAACATAAAAATAACACATGTTGCAATTACAGCAAATCAACCTATTTTCATTTCATGCAAAATAAGTCTATAGCGCATAGGTGGCAGTGAAAAATAAAAGCCATGATAATTGTTTTTCCTACAATTTAAAAGGAAAACATATCTTCACAATAGGAGAGCGCTGACGCTGACACGGGACAAGTGTAATCTAGAAATTTTTGAAGGAGAGAAAGAAGTATGACAATCAAGGAGGCCATAAACGCGCCCTGCAATTGTAGGGACGACTGACGATACGGGCCTAAGTCTACAACGCATAGGTGGCTGTGAAAAATAAAAGTCAATTGTTTTTATTAAGCACAGCTGTCAGAATACGTTTAAAATAGTTTTGGGTAGTTAAGGTTTTCAAAATGGGTAGAGGAAAGGTTATTAGTGAGAAAATTCGGTTACTGATAATTAAATTTTTTAATTCTGGGAAATCAATCAATCATCAAACTCAGAAATTGCAACTTTGTTAGACTTATCGCGGTACAGAGTGAGAAATATTGTTAGAAGATATAACTTAACAGGTTCAGTTAATATTAAGCCACGATATGTGAAAAAAAGTAATATCACAAATGCCGACCGAAGAGCATTAAGAAGAATAATCGTGAAAAAACGGGAGTGCCAATTATTTACAATTAAGTGCTCTGTGGAGTGACGCTGTTGGAAGGAGAATTTCGAAGTCCACAACTCATAGAGAGGCCCACAACTGGGATTCAGCACTTGCAAGGTAAGTTTTCTTATAAAAAAAAAGTGAAGTAAAAACCCTAAAGTTGCACAACTTGTTTATAGGCCAAAGAAAAGCCACTATTAACTCCACTGCAAAAGAAAAATCGGCTTAGATGGGCTAAAGTACATAGACAATGGACACCTCAACAATGGTGTGCAATACAATGGAGTGATGAGGCCCGATTCGAAGTTTGTGTTGGTGACAGTCGCAGTAGAGTTATTCGCAAAAAAATGAAGCATTCAATGTTGACTGTCCGAAGAGAAAAGTGAAATTTCCAGCATCCATTATGGTCTGGGGCAGTATGTCATCAAAAGGAGTAGGAAAACTTCATTTTATTGATGTAAATGTGGAAACAAACAAATACTTGGAAATTTTAGAAGAATCGCTTTTACCAGTGATGGAAGAATGTTTGACATCCGGCCAAGATTTTGTGTTTCAGCAAGATGGTGCAGAGTGCCATACCTCAAAAAAGGCTATAAAATGAATGGAAGAAAATACTGTACCACTTTTAAAATGGGTTTCTAGCAGTCCAGATCTGTCACCTATTGAAACTTTGTGGCACGAGATGAAAAAGGTTCTACAACATCCTGCTCGTACAATCACCGAACTGAGACAAAAACTTCAAGAAATATGGGATTGTTTTACGCCAAATTTTTGCCACAACTTGGTTAACACTATGCCCCAACGAATTTCAGCCGTAATAAAAAATAAAGGTGATGTTACCCAATGGTAATCTTTCAATTGTTGCTTTGCTAACTTCGCGCATTTATTCGCACATTGTTTATTTGTCAGATGTTCTATTAGTTATAGGTCTAAGTGATTTCAAATATGTATTTTTTACGTCTAGAGTAAATAATTTCGTCATGTTTACTTTATAAAGGCATATTTTGGTACAAATCTTGAAGTGGGCCAACTGAAGTGGGAAGGAGCTCATATATTTAAATTGGTAAAAACTTTAAAATAAATGCGTTGATTTATCAGCCTTTTTCTACAATAATTATTGTTATTAAAAGGAGCCATTCGATAGCCTACTTGAATAAAAAATAGCTAAAATAAAAAAATATATATATATAAAAATGATTTTAGATATTCAAATATACTGCCAACGGTTGATTATAAATATTAAAACCTAGGATATGCTCAGGCGTTTAGGACATACATTTTGATAGAAAGACACAATTTATATCCTGAACGCTTGAGCATATCGTACGTTTTAATATTTATAATTAACCGTTGGCGGAATTTTTTATAAATAAAATCACCTGGAGAGTTAATTTTTTCCCAAGTAGGCTATGGAATGGTTCCATTTAATAAAGATAATTGTGAAAAAGCGTTGATCAATCAACGCATTTATTTTCATTGCATTGTGCATTTTAATTAATTTAAATTTAGGAACTACAATACATGCTTTACAAAACATTCGTTCAAAAAATAAGTAGAAGGAACCTCTTTGAAAAGCACAGTATGTTTGTGGTCTTAAGGAGTTTTCACTTTAAGCTTGTTGAATACTTCACCAGTGATTTCGTAATAAGATATATTCCAGGTTGGCCATGAAATGTACCGTAAGACGCACAATGACTACAACCCCTCGGAACAAGTGAACAGAGGATATAAATCTCCACCTTTTTATCCAGACAAATGCTTTGGTAAAAAAACTAGGTACGACGCTAGAGGCATCTGGGTGAGGTGCTGTTGCGACTGGCACCAAAAGGAGCCAGTTGTACATGCTAGTAAGATACAGGTAGGTATGTATTTTCAATATAACATGGAAGATGCAAAAATATGGAAAATGCAAAAGACACTTTTGTCAATAATTAGGAATTAAAGCTGAAACGGAAAGTACTTCAATCCACGAAGCAGCGTCATCTATATCGTTCCTACTATCTTACGATATTGTCGAGGGGCAACTATATATATATACAGGGTGACTTTGAAGTTGAGTCATTAATTTTCAGATAATGATTGTAGAAGGAAGATAAACCAAAATATGTGTGTAAAAATAAAAAAAAAATTAAAAAAAAATCTTTACCTTGTTTTATAAAGTATCCTCCCGACAAGTATTTCAGTGCGGACCTGTATTTGATCGTGAGGTCCCCTGTGAGGTCTTAAGTCACCTGATTCACGAGCCCGTTGTACTACATTAACAAAAGCACGAGGGGTTGGTTGCACTCGATTGGGAAACCGATCTGCATAAACATGTGCCATTTTTTATTTCGTTTGAGCCACGCAACAGACACTATTCACACGCTTTACCGACTGACACTGACTGTATGTATAACTGAACTGAATAAAATAATTGTAAAAACATCGTTCCAAATTCTTTCGCTTTTTTGTTTCCGATGCGATGAACCGATAAGGCGGATTATATCCGTTGTTGCCAAACACGAGCACATGATATTATTATTGAGACAGGGCGGTACTCAAACTTCCAAAGGGATATAACTTTGTTACTTTAATTTTACCAGAAAAATGGTAAAGTAAAAAAACATTTCTTTTGATCAGATCTACTCACTGTTAAAATAAGTGACTCAACTTCGAAGTCACCCTGTATAGGCGCCACCATGTGGACAGCATTTGAACTAGTAGAAAGTAAGTGAATTCAAAAATTTACACACGTCTCTTACGGATCCTTCAATAAAAAGTAAAAGTTTCGGCAAATATTGCTATGCTTCGGGGTGCAAAGCACCAAATAGCCAAAAGATGTCCTTTCAGAACCCACTAAAAAGATCAAGCACTGAAAAAAAGGGGTCAAAAGCGATAAACATCAAATTGCCATCATGATTCTACTTCATTCCGAGTGTAAATCCTGGAATTCTTGGAAACTTGAATATTATGTGGAAAAATGTTCAATCTAGTGCATAGTAAGTAGTGACACTTTTCCGGATATGGGTCCCTATACTCAAATGTTTTCTACTGTTACACTGAATAACCCCTACAAGTTTGATCCCATAGTTCTAAAACACCCTGTATTAATAACATTTTCATAACTAAGCCACACGAGGCAGGCTGTTATGTGACGTGCTCAAAATATTCCTTTCTTTTTTCAACTTAGGGACCTTTGCGTATGTAGTATCTATTTGACACATAGGCTGAAGACACGTTCAACCCGTTTTTTTATGATCATTAGGTCTAGAATTGCGTACTTTTTGAGTAAAATTTTAGATTGACGGTCTGTGTGAAGCTGAAAATATAAAATTGAGATCAACTCTGTTGTGTCCACCGTCGATTTGAGCAGCGCCTTCTCTCGGACTTGCCCCTCGCCAATTGGAAGTTGCATACTCTGTGGCTGCATATATGCAGTAACAACTGTCTGGTGTCCGTGATGACCACAAAAGTGATGACTTTGGTAATGACTGCTGGCAGATAGCTGGAGTGGCAACATCATAATAAGGAATTTGCGTGCGTCTCAAATATTGGTCATTTATTTTTATCTACAGTCTGTATTGCTACGGAAAGCCACCTTCAACCTTATCTTATACTTATGCTCTATAAAATTACTAGTATACTAAGTGACATATAAATCCGAACACCCAGTTTAAATGGTTTTATTTTAATAAAAGTTGGTGAATGTATTTATCTTACTGTAAATAACAAGTGAAAAAATTTTCAGCCTTATCAATTGGACATTCCTGTTTTTATACTGCTTTTTTTTAATTCACTAACGCTCTAAAAATGAATATTTCAGCCGCAGTAAAGAATCAACGTTGGCGGATTTTGGTTCTTGACATCCTTTACGATCGGTTACGATGCCTAGAGTGCGGAGACCTGTACGATTTCGTCAACTTAGTGAGTTTGATAGGGGCCGTATAGTGGGACTTCGGGAAGCTGGGCTTTCTTTTCGGGCAATTGCAGTTAGAGTGCAAAGAAATGTAGACACTGTGGTTAGGTGTTGTCAGGCATGGCTTCGAGAAGGCCGCACGCAAAGAGCAAGGGGCACTGGACGCCGCCGTAGTACAACAGACCGTGAAGATCGCCGCCTAAGATTATTGGCCTTAAGGGACCGTTTCTCCACTACCAGGTCCATTGCAAATGAATGGTTTGCAGAACACGGAAGACCTATTGGCATGCGAAGTGTTTACCGACGAATGAGAAGTTTTGGCTTGTTTTCATACCGGCCACACTGGGTCCTCCCTTTAACTCGAGAACACCGACGTAATCGCCTTGAGTGGTGCAGACAACGGTCACTCTGGGATCAGGAATGGAACAGTATTGTCTTTAGTGACGAGTCTCGATTTTGTTTAGGCATGCACGATGGTCGTGCCAGGGTTAGAAGGCCACGTGGTGAAAGGAGGAATCCACAGTTTTTTGTTGAAAGACATGTTCATCACACTGTTGGAGTTATGGTTTGGGGTGCTCTAGCTTATAGTTCCAGGTCACCTTTAATCTTCATCCGAGGTAACATGAACGCGCAGCGTTATATCCACGAAGTTCTAGAACCCCATCTTTTACCCTATCTTGACACCCTGGCAGATCCAACTTTCCAACAAGATAATGCCCGACCACATGTTGCAAGAGTCACAAGAGACTTCTTTCAACATAATGATGTCACATTGTTACCATGGCCACCAAGATCTCCCGACTTATCCCCAATTGAGCACGTGTGGGATATGATGGGTAGGAGATTGCTCAATTTGCAACGTCCTCCTCAGACTCTAGAAGCACTTCGAGAGGAGTTGGTGGTTGCCTGGAATGAGATACCACAGAAGGACATTGACCACCTGATCAGAAGCATGCCTAGGCTCGTTGGAGAATGCGTAGCACATCAGGGTGCATCCACACATTATTAAAGGTCAAATGGCTTTAAAGCAGTGCAATCATTTTGAAATTTTTATCATTTACTTATTATGCTTCATTAAGTACTTATACAAAATTTTATTAAAATAAAACCATTTAAACTGGGTGTTCGGATTTATATGTCACTTAGTATATTAATTAATAAAAAATGGGAAAATTACACAGCTTATTTAAAATATCGAAAAATAACGCTAAAGACGTGACGTCACGATATTGGCAAGTGAGCAGCTAATCCTTTATTGTTGTCATAGACTGTCAACCTATCAGCATAGCTTAGATAACAATCAGTTTTGAAACTCTCCTGTCAGTGTGAAAAACGGCGGCCGTTTCGGCTAAGAAAGTCGAATGTAAATTACCCCAACGATGAAAGAGATTTTAGTGCTCAGCAGCAGGAGCCGGTGTTACCTGGTAACATGCCAGCGGCTGCAGATATTCTTTGCAATCTTAAAATGATGATATTTCGATATGATGTAGTGTACCGGGTGCTACTAAAAACTCTTTCATCCTTGTGCTGGGGGAATTTACATTCGACTTCCTCCGCCGAAATGGCGGCCGTTTTTGACACTGACAGAGGAATTTCATAGCTGATTGTTATTTAAGCTGTAAGACAGATTATTCAATGCGACACCTGCTATCGGCCTCTTTTATTTTCGTATCCCCAAATGCTTGCCACATTCCCGTCTTTTCTCCATGAGCGCTCGGAGGATTTTTTTCGAGCGGTTGTTACGCTTTATTAGCATGACGTCCGAATGTCATACGTCAAACTACAGAATAAAGAAATTTATTTGTATTTATCATCTGCTCTCATGTATTTTGGCGAGATAATTATTATTATTAATTCTTAAAAAGCTTTTTATATTGAATATAACCAGCAATAAGTAGAAGTGGTTGACAGGTACTCGTGAAAATCTTTCACATAACGTATAAATATTACTAATTATCTTGTGCATTATACGTTGGGTTATGAATCTACGTAAAGCTAACAAAAGATCATATACAGAAGCTTCAAGACATTCTCGGCGATGAGAGAGCGTTTTAAGGATGATACACATCCCAGCTATAAGGTTGCGAAGATGCTTACAAATGTGTGGATCTTCACAAAATGGTATTTGATGCAAGTTTTCCCAGCACTGCTGAAAGGAGAAGTTAGTGCTAGTGTGATGAAAACTTATGCAGTAAACTAAAACTAAATTTACCTATGTGAGATGCCATATCTAAAGTAATTTACGTAGTCATGCCATAAGTTCTGTCCCTCGTTTTCAAACAAGTGTAGACCTGTTAATACTTGTCCGATTGTTTACATTGTGGTGTCAGTTGATTAAGCGCTTTTCGGGTAATTACATATACCTCAGTTTGTATTGATCTCTCGAAGCATAACGATGGAGTGGGGCAAGGCAGAGAACCGTATTGCAGTGATAGCTTTACATAAGTGTAATCACAGTGCTAGTCAGATTTTTGAACTCTTACGCGGCCTTCAAATATCGCGTAAATTTGTGTCTAGGACCATTCAGCGGTACAATGAGACGTCCTCTGTTGATGACAGGCCAAGAAGCGGAAGACCTCGTCAAGTAAGGACTCCAGCAGCCATCAAAGCCGTAAAAGCCAGGATTCAAAGGAATCCACTCCGGAAGCAGAAGATCCTATCCAGGGAAATGAAGATTCCTGTCCGGACGATGTCGCGCATCATTAAACAAGACCTAGGGCTAGGGGCTTACCGGAGACGTACGGGCCAGCGACTTACGGCCACCTTGCGACACATCAGGGCGACAAGATCCAAGAAGCTCTTGGAGAGGTACGCAGCTGGGGGATTCCGAAAGATTTTGTTCACGGATGAGAAAATCTTCACCATAGAAGAAAAATTCAACCGACAAAATGACAAAGTGTATGCAAGGAGTTCACAGGAAGCTTCGGAGATCATTCCGAGAGTTGAGAGAGGCCACCACCCTGCGTCAGTCATGGTTTGGTGGGGGGTGTCCTACGAAGGGGTCACTCAGCTCCATTTCTGTAAACAGGGCGTGAAAACAAAAGCGGCAAACTATCAGAGCGACATACTGGATCCTATCGTCAAGCCTTTAAGTGGTACATTGTTTGCCAACCAACACTGGGTCTACCAGCAGGATTCCGCCCCCTCTCACAAGGCTAAGAGTACGCAGCGCTGGCTGGAAAGCAATGTGCCAGAGTTCATTGCTGCGGAAGATTGGCCCTCAGGGAGTCCGGACCTCAATCCTTTAGACTACAAGTTGTGGGACCTGCTAGAGCAGTTGGCCTGCTCCAAAGCCCACCGTAATATCGAGTCCCTGAAAGCGGATTTGATCCGATCAGCGGCAGCTATTCCTTTGGAAGCTGTGCGTGCAGTGATAGATGAGTGGCCCGCGAGATTGAAGCAGTGTGTGAAGGCCAAGGGGGGACATTTTGAATAAAACTGTTTGATTATGAATTCTAAAAATGTTGTCGAATAAATAATATCTTTCATATAAATATATCTTATCTTGTTTCATTTTTATCATGAGATTATCATGGGACAGAACTTATGGCACGACTACGTATATTCACCACAACTGTACGCGGTAAAAAAGTCCAAGTATAAATAAACAATTATTATAGACGATCGACGAGCTGAAGGCATTACATTTCCAATAGTTTGGGCTAGAATTAAAAATTATATCTATACAACAAAAATGTTTTTAAAGGTCACAGTAACAAGAATCCTACCAAACGCATAAAGCTCAAGTTGGCGTTGATAGAACCTGATTTTTGACAGATTGTCGCATCTGTGGCTGTGTCATCAATTCCAAAGAATACTGAGCAGAATCCGCTACTGAGCAACTACAATGGGTTACGCCCCTGCCACCAGTAGGAGAATTTCATCGCTAAGACGACGTCGGAAAAACTACAAAAGAAAAATAGAACTTTTAGACCCATGGCAGCAAATTAACCAAACATAAAATAAAATGATTAACCATGAATTCTGATGATACTGCGAAGCGCGAAAAATGCGGCATTTAAATCAACGTCATTTGCATTGCACTTTCAAATATTTAATTTAAAAAATAGAATTAAATAAAATATGTATATGTATTACATTAACGTAAATATTTGACAGATAATACAAAAAAACGTGCATATTCCTGATTATAGGTTCGTTTTTACGGGAAAATTTGAAGTATTAGCCTGGAAACAACTTCTTCAGATAAATTGCATTGGCATGAATATTTCATAGACTATGAACTGTTCTACATCAAATTCTTAAACATGACAGCAAAACAAAAATACCGTATCTTCCCTATTAAAATTTATATACTATTTAAAATATGAAAATAAGTTATATGATTTGAAATCCAGGCGAATTATTTCGATAGAAACCGAGCGCAACTTGGAAAATCGCTGGCACCCAATCAAAACATTAAAAATTTCCCAGAAGGTCACCGATTCGGGAAAGCAATGGAGAATGAAACCTTTGGCGTAGAAACTCTGTTAAGAGACCCTGGCAGCGATGCATGTCTCTTCAAAAGGGAGTATTACAGGTAATAGTTTTATTTTTCTAGGTGGTATACGTAAACGGTGTCAGGTTATAGGTGGATTAAGGAAAACCGAATGATAGAAGATACCGATCGAAATAGCTCATATGTGTTATCTGATACACAATGATACAGGAGAAATTTTCCACTTTTATGAAATACTAGAAAAAAGTCAAAACTTATCATGTCTATAATACAGCTGTCATGTTTTCTCTATTGCTGTTTGAAGACAAACTTCATAGAAGTGGTCACAAGCCGAAATCACGTAACCTTTTTTTTATTATTTTGATCTCTTACCAGTAACTTGATTTCTCTTTATTGATTATGGAGTACCGATTCCTAAGCCAAATCCTTTTTAATGATTTTCTTTTGACAAATTTCATAGTTTATTGATTGTATAATTTCGCACGTATTATATCTTTCTTTCTCAGCGATTCTGTATTGTTTTGAAATCTTGGACACTAATGTTATAGTATTATTAACGACTATCTTAGAAATTTCCTCATCAAATTTTGTTGGTCCATCGTAAACAGAATTGACCAGCGCGCCACCTTGTGCTTTCTACACGTACTAACCGTATATGAATGTTTACCTTCCTATCTACCTTCTTTCCCGGGTTTTCTCTGTTCCTTTTGATTTTCTGTCGAACGTGCCTTCATCAGGGCCACTAACTTTACCTTCTTTTAAGAAGTTAGGTTCTGCATGATTTACTTTCATGCTGAGATTGTGGTGTGGACGTTTTTTCGTTAACTTCCAGATATTGGGACATTAACACCCCAAACACCAGTTTATGGAGTAGTATCCTTTTATTTTGTACCTTACGTTTAGTTGTTTTGGTTTGGGTACTACCCGTCCATTTTCTAATGTGATTTTAACCTCCAGCGGTAAGTTTTCTTTTGTATACCATCGGCCCACGTCCATTAATGCATGTCCTGGAGAAGTTAAATATCTGCTCCCTTTTAATGGAAAGCCAATGCGGAGAACCACCATTCACACCGCTCCTTGTAGCCGTTTCGCAGCCGATTCTGTTGGAAGCCATCCCTTTCCTTTGACAAAAAACCCTGATGTTAACAGGTAAAACATCAGTTTAATTAGGTATTTTATAGATATTAATAGATTGATTGTTACTGACTGAAATTCTTCTTGATTTGGTTTGACATTTTGCGTATTCAAATATAGGGTAGTGCCTACATATCACTGCCTTTTGGGCTTATTTCATTACATTAATCGTGATTTTGAATTTTGAGCAGCAACCCAGATATATATTGTCGCCCATCCATACTTTTTTTGCTGTGGATATACATGATTCGATCGTCGCCTAGGTCTCATCAGCACAACTGGGCAAGCCGATAGTGAAGATCGAACTATCGTACATTATAAGCGCTACTACAAAACTACAAAGTATACAGTAGCAACAACCAAAGGAACATGCATGTCCATAACAAAGCTATATAAGGTGAGGTTCAAATTTGGCCGGCTTAATGTGTGCGTGAGAGAAGCGTTGCAATATGTATGTCAGAAAGTGTGTGCCGTTGGCAATCCGTAACCTAGTACTCGGGTTGCTACGCAACGTGGGGCTTCTATATCTTTCTAACACCCGCATTTCACGCTTCTCGCTTCTTTCTCGGACATATTATGACGTCAGTTGAATTTGGTTATCAGTGTATAAAATGGAGAATATGCACTATGTCAACTTTTGCTGTTATCTCTTCGACCATTAAGGGCTATTTGAAAGACTACTAGATTTAATGTTGAATCAACCCTGCAAATTTTATCCGGACAATACATCGAATATTGCACTTCACTCGCGAAAATTGCGATTTATAATTTTATGGAAACAGAAGTTATATCTTCAGGAGCCCACGCAAAATATTGCACGATTTAGTTTACTAATAAAGGAAGCTATTACGCTTGGAAATAATCTTTTTTCTTTTCCAAGTAGAATACGTTAATCATTTTTGTATGCATTTTCAGAAATGTGAAAATATTCTCTCAACTATAACCAGGGATTATTGCGATAAGTATTAAGTCCTGTAACATCTGAACCCTATCTTGTGGTTTTTATGTTGATAAATAATCGCCCATGCTTCTCTAGCGGAATCAAACCACATATCTTAAAAATTTATTGTGCGACGTTTTGGTCCCCAGTATTAATTAACTGAATTATATTGTAAAAAAGTACCATTGCGACCGATACGTTAAACAATAAAGAGGAATTTTATACATATAATATTAATAATAACATGCCTTTATTCGATTCTCTTACAAATACATAGGGGGTGGTGTATAACTAGAGATTGACTATTTATTATCGCTAAGTTGTCAACGTCTTCAAATTTTTGTAGCTTATTGAGAAGGCTTTCTGGTTTTTTATTCATTGAAGTGTTATGGACTAAAGATAGTGAATGGTATAGTCTCAGATTTTCTAGATTCAGTTTTCCGTTTTCCTTATAAACATGACTTATATTCCTTATAAACATGACTTATATGATCATATTTTCTAATGCCAAGACAATAACGGAAACAATAATTTTGGAGTCGCTGCAGCTTGATCTTATCACTTTGCAATAAAGCGGGTCCATATACTGCGTCACAATAAGATATCCTTGAAATGATTAGTGAATCACACAGTTGTAGTTTTAATATGTTCTGTGATTTGATTCGGTGTCGAGTCCTCTATCACCCGGGTTTCATTGAATCACCCATAAGTTTGCACCCTATATACGTAACCGTAAAAAGGTGAATTTCAAGCAATTTATGATATTTTCATAGCGGAATCATTTGGATGTGACCCCTGATCATAAAATCACTTGGAAAAGGAGCATATTTGCGTGTGCCAGCAAAAATTATTGATCTCTTTAAAAAGTATTTGCTCCTAAATTATAGGAAATTTTCTCTAATTTAATTTATCTTAATTTATTTTTGCTTATAAAAGACTCAACACACTCTGGATGCCATTTTTACAATATTTTTATGTACTAAGCAAATACTCGTACAACATTTCAGATGGTTAATGGCGCTGAACAAGTTTCGGCTGAAAATAAAAGAGAGAAGAGTCGAGGGTTTCAGCTTCAACGATTTTTTAAGACGAATCCAGTACTGGGACAAGGAGAAAACTGGAATACTCCCTATATCAACTTTCTATGAAGTGTGCGCCTGTCACGATTTTACATTCCCTAAAGAGCCCTTGGAAAACTTGATGTCGTTCTTGCGTATCATCCAAAATGATAAGATTGATTACAGAAGATTTGTGGACCTTATCGATTTGAACTCGTGTGGGCCAGCTATTCAGCTGAAGCCATTTAGCGACGTGTCGCCAGAAAATTTGTATTTCGTTACAACATCGCAGGCAGCAAGTTGCGACTATTTGATCATCAATAATTCAACCAAACGGGTGGCTGGTAAATACACTTTGAACTGCTTCAAGTGACATGTTTCGCGGTAATCTCACAAATACAGTTTTCTACTATTTTATATCGATAAAAATTTATGTTCAATGATTGATTCATCATTATAAAGCTTAAACATTGGTCTACATAGCTGCTAATCTGGTCGATACATTTTTGTCGACACTATGACAGTTTTTGTATGCCCAAGTGCCCAAGTCATACAAGCTCGTCGCCAGGTCCTTGAAGAAGAATCGAACGTCATCCTTCACCTCATCATCAAAAGTGAAGCACCTTGTCAAGTGTTGTTTCAACTTAGATAACAGGTGTTAGTCACAGGATGTCAAGTCTGGACAATGAAGTACGTGACTAATGATCTCTCATTCAAACTGTTGCAAAAGAGTTACTATCCCACGGGCGACGTGTGAGCGAGCGGTGTTATGGAAAATGCTTACGGCCCAGCTTAACATTTATCTTTTCCGGTTCTAAATTGCGCGACTGAGTTTTTTTCAGTGTTTCACAGGATCTACTACCACCTGTTCCCTAATTAAAAAAAACATTTTGCCGAAAAGCCATTCACAACCGATGACGAAGCTAAAGATAAAGCTCAGTGCTTCTTCAAGGACCTGGCGGCTAACTTATATAACAATACATCGAGCAGAATGGCTACTGTGTAGAAAAATAGACAAATGGTTAAGCAATTATGATTGGAAGTTAATAGGAGGCCGTCATGTAGGTACCAAAATCACGTAACCTTTTTTTTACTATGGTGATCACTTATGAGTAATTTGAATTCCTCTTTATTAATGATAGAGTGCCGATTCCTAGGGTAAACCCTTTTTAATGATTTTCTTTTGGGAAATTTCATAGTTTATTGGTTGTATAATTTCACACGTATTATATCATTCTTTCTCAGCGATTCAGTATTGTGTTGAAATCTTTTGGATACTGATGTTGTATTATTAACGACTATCTCAGAAATTTCCTCATAAAATGTCGTTGGTCCCTCGTAGAGCTGGCTCCGCCAACTGGCAACCAGCGCCACCTTGTGATTTCTGCACGTACTAGCCGTATAGGAATATTTGCTTTCCTATCAAGATACCTTCTTTTAAAATTTGATTTACTATCAAGATACCTTGTTTTCAAAACTTGCGTGTACAGACGGGTCCAGCGTCATTTTTCTTTCGCTTTCCATTGATGTTTTGGTTGAACATGGGTTGTTTCGTTCGTAATAATTTCCAAATTCTGGGATATTAACGCCACAAACACCAGATTATGGAGAATCATCCTTTATTTTTTACCTTACGTTTAGTTGTGTTGGTTTGGGTGCTACCTCGTCCATTTTCTCATGGGATTTTAACCTTCAGCGTGGGAAGACATTGCGGAGAACGACTATTCACACTCATCCAGCTTTGTTTAAAAAGCTGTCTCGCAGCCGATTTTGCTTCCCATTGACAAAAAAACCCTGTTCACTCACGTGACTTTGATACGTGACAAGACATTTCTTTTGGGTTTACCCTTGGATACGGATGCCAAAAGCCCGTAGAAGAGGACACATTATTTGATCGATGATTCGAACGAATTCGATGATGTATCTCGATCGCACGATCACCTTATTAAAAATCTCCATTCACGGTTGCTCAGTCATGGAAAATTTACCATAAACAAAAGCAATGGACGTTTATAGAGACTCGATTGATTTGAAGCAAATAAGTATCTGATCGATATTCAGTCACTCTATAATTCTCCATTTGGAGCCAGTGCGCGTCTATAGAAAGAGAACAACCGAAAAATAAAATGGTCGTTTTAAATGACAGTGGATGTCAACTAATTGACGGGCAATCAATGCTCGGTCCTCGTGAATGCAACGCAATTGTCGTTTGTATAATAATTGTCGCTATAAAAATGGATTGTCGTTATCACAACGCAACAAAAAGAGCTTTACCTATTCGATGGTTATAAATGTATTTTGGCTAAAATAACTTCTGATCATGATGTTACTAAAAAGTTACAGTGTTATCAGCTATCATACTTGTTTGACTATCAGCGTTTTATCTCTCCCTAGGTAAATAACTGAAACGACTAATACATTTTAATCAAATTCAAGCGGATAACCAAATGGAAATGGTATTTACCATTTTGGCTTGGTATTTACCAATCCGTTCAAGCGATTGTAGTTATCAGTTTGGTTATAAGATCCGTGACGTCACGAATCAGCTGTTATATGTCATAGTTATCACCGCAAAATTGTGGTATTTACCCAACTCAAGAGTAGTTTTATATTTCTGGTTATTATTTGAAATGTGACAAGTTAGAATTTTGCCGGGTATTGGATATTGTTATTGTACTTCAGCTTCATTTTTGAGAAAATTGATAGAGGCTGACTTCAGTTTTACCATAATGTGGAGCACCTTATTAGTTATACTCATTACGGTTGTTGGGGACACTTTAAATGTAGTTCTTATGCTTAACAAAGTATCCTGTGTAGCCATAAACCACAAGAATATTAAAATATGGCCATATAAACTCACTAGATGATATCCACCTGTATACGGTTTTGCTAATTTCTTTTATCATCATTTCTGCTGAATCAATAAATGTTTTCTTTGACATGCGGAAAAATTTAGAGAATTGAAAGTTATCATAGCTACAAAGCCATGGTTCCATCATTAAAAAAAAATCTGAAAAAAACATGTCTCCCATGAATATTATGAAAGGTTTCTTATTTAAACTTTCCATATACAGTTGTAGACGAAAAAGCACCGATTATTAAGTGATAATAAAAATAATCAGAGATTATATACGCGCTTTTCTAAAATAAACAACTTGCAACAAAACCGCGGTTAAAACCAACGCGTTCAAGCGATTCGAGTAACTGACGTCACCATCCCGTGTGTCATCTTGAACCATATTATAACCGCGGTACATAATACGGAAATTTTGGTTATCCGCTTGGATTTGATTTTTGTCGAAATCACGAAAGATGACAATTACGTCATCATTTTAGTGTGTCGTAAAGACAAATGACAGCGATTTGTGAATATTTTTAATGAAGTTGCAAATATGTTAGACAGAGACAAACAGAATTTTATTGTCTAAACAAACTGTATTGCTAATTTGCACGTATCCGACAAAGATAGACGATGTTTTCATATTGCATGATCGATCATATTTGAAAGATGAATAGTTAGGTTATGTTGAAGCAGGTTAGGTTGTTTTCGAATAATACTTTGGTCTTTGGTGTTAATGTCTTTTTTCAAAACAAAAACTCCCCACTAAAATTATTATTAAAAAAATGAAATAAAATGAAAATGAAAATAATCTGTGAAATAACCTAACTTTGCAAAATCATAATACAAATTCATGAGAATGTGATTTTATCATCGACGTACGTCCATTGATTACTTCAGTACAATTTATGGTATGACTTAATAGTCATCTTTCGTGATTTTAACTATAGGTAAATAATAATGCCGTTTAAAATTGTATCTTGTTATTTTCATTATGTCAGTTTGAAAACTGATCTTTGCATTTCGGAATATTCGAAAACGATTGATAGTTATCCCTGGATGTATGTTACTAATAATAGGCATGCTGGTGAAAAAGGCGTTCAGTGTTGACAGAAGAAAAACATTATTTATATCTCATTCAAATCGGCTGCATGTTACATTCATTATTTTGAGTTTCTAAGTTTGACACCAGGCAACTACATATTTTAGAGTATTTGTAAAATAAGCTGGAAACGACATGGCCGTGACGTGGAACCGAATATTTTGTGAAATACATATAGTATTAGTACTTAAAAAATGTATACATACCTTTAAGAAGGCGATTATTGGTCTCCCACAAAAGTGCTCGATCAGTAATGGCTCACTTTCTCTCTGGGTATGTAATTTACTAATACATAGGTACGTGGTACGAATTTCACAGAAATCGCAATCTGATGTTAGGAATCGCAGTTTACATAATAATGTCGCCGAAATCTCATTTTTTCGAAAGTCTAAGAAGTTGTGCATCTCGATATGTAAAAAGTGTTCATTGAACCAAATATACAAGGGCAGCTTTATAATAAGCGATATTATATACTCGTATATGTGTGTATATGTGCATCTATTTATGTGTTTATTTGTATGAATATATATGTATATATGTACTCGTATATATGTGTATATCTGTAACAAAACGTCACAGTAAAAAAGGTTCAAACTTGTAGCCATTAGATACGGGTAAAACTTTTGTAGAGATTAATTATTATTTCTAGGTATTCCTTCGGTAAGATCTGATCTATTAAGGCCAATAGTACCGCAGGGAGGATGTAGAGCAGATCTAGAGAACCTTGGAGAGGACACTACGGCAAAGGCCGTACTCAATCCTAGCATTTACACACGCTACGGCCTGAATTACAGAGACTTCTATATACCAAGACCACCTGACGTCATCAGAAAACTTTTCGCGAAGCTCGGCTACAATTTGAACGATGAGTTGTTCAAAGAGTTGTGGAAAGAAGGTTTGGTGTTGGATAAAACTCCAGGAGAAGTATGCGTTGAAACGTTCAAACAGTTGCTGAGGACACGTTTTCCACACCCGAAAATCACCATAGACGAAGCAGAGTGTGAACAGTTGCCTTAAAGTGATATAAAATGAATAAAAACCTTTATCTTTATATACAAACAAGCTATTCCGTCTTTACCCTGTGGGTACAAAAGAATCCAAAAATTAAACGGAATCTCCAAAAGTAGAGTACTACCTACCAGTTTAGTTTTCTTCCGCTTTTTAATGTTGCGCAACAGGCCCCAGATTTCGCTATGCCCTGAGTTCCTTTTAGTCATAAGCCCCGTGGTCATATATGCTGACTGCTGAGATGCCCGTACATCGCTTAAGCCCCCCCGTTAAACAGGAACTTGGTTTATTAATAAATATTACGCAAATCGGTGTTACGAGTTATCAGTATTTACTAGATAGATAGACAGATAAGTAGATAGTTTATTTCCTATCAGATCATGTTACATGATATAAGACTTATCAATATCAAGGTCGTAGATGCGTTTGAGCAAATATGGAAAGATACGTATAAATATAAAATAAACTTTAACATGAATCTAGAAATGCTATAACTCCTGAGACATGAACCGCTTGTCCTGATAATCCATATCCATGGTGTATTTGCCGATAAATAAAACCGCAGATGAGAAATAGAGTAAAATGAATATATACTCAGTGACAATAGAAGTGTTACACCCAGAAAAAATGTTTTCTTCAACTTGTTATTTTGGCAATGAGGTAGTCTTACATCAAGAATGGAACGATAACATTCTCATGAAATTTGATTAACAAGTAGTGAGAAAAAAATTAAAATGTTGGGCGACCCCGCAGCCGAATACACTCCTGTATACGTCTAGGTATCTACAAAATAAAATGATCGATGTCTGGTTGTGGCACCTCATTCCAAGCAACTCGAACTTCGTGGATTAGCCGTAGAAGAGTCTGTGACGTATGGTGCAAAGTGAATAATCTCCTCCCCATCATATCCCACACATGTTTGATGGGATTTAAATCCGGCAGCGTCAAAAACTTAACGCCTGCTTCTTGGAGAAAGTCCGTAGTACGACGAACAATATGGGGACGTGCGTTGCCTTGCTGACAAAGGAGTTGTGGACGGCCCTCTAGATTCGGCAGTAAAGTGGTTTGTAGGACATCACCAACATAACGTTCAGCAGTCATATTGCCTTGAACAAAGGAGTAGTCGACTACCATAATAAGCAATAGTCTCCCAAACCATTACTCCAACAGTCCTGTGTACATTCCTCTCATCAGCAAATCCAATATCACGCCGTTCTAAACGGCGGCGTCTTACCCTTCTACGATCATCGTGCGTACCTAGATAGAATCGCTATTCGTCGGCGAAGATGAATGACATTATGCCATTCTGACTCCCAATGTTGCCATTCTCTGCAAAAAAGTTCAAAGGCTAAAGAGCGTCGATAGTATGTACGCATATTAACAGGTCTACCTTCTTCTCCAAACCATAGGTCAGGGACCTGATGCGTAGTAGCAAAACGGTCTTGCAGGGCTAGTGGCCTGAAGCCTATCTGGACGCTCTGTGGTACGCCTCTGTGGACCAGTAGGCCTTCTTCGTGTTTCTCTACCTTCTTATATCCACACGCGACATACAAACATTACCGTCATTGCAGTACAAGCAACATGGCGCCCAATTTTGCGATAGGACAAACCCACATCTCGATATGCAATAATTCTACCCCTGTCAAAGACGCTAGCATGTTAATATTTTGGACGTCTTCGAACTCGAGGCATTTTGTTATACTTAACGCTGATAAATGAAAGGGCACCAACTAAAAATACCTGTGACAGATATTTTACAGGTAACCTGTACTACTCAGCTATCAGAAACTGCTTTCTTCACAAAAACTAGGAGATAACATTTTAACAAAGGTAAACAAAAATAAAGATGAAACGTTGACATTGTTGCCACAGCATACTTTGAATATAGTCATTATGTTGCCTAAACACTTTTAATGTCACCGAGTATATTTTTAAATCAGATTATGCAAAAGTCAATTTCAAACTAATCCTCGTGATCAAAATTTCCCCTGCATTTCTTAATTTGAGCAGGCTGCCAGTGCAACCAAAACGGTGGTAAAAACATTTTTGAACATCTGCGGTTTTATTAAATAAGTAAACATCAGTGGTCATTTAACGTGTTTTCAGATATCCCGAAGAAATATCATCCCCCCTACTGGGCGGGGCCGTAGCAAATGCTTGTTGTATCCAGCATACAACTTCTTCCCGTTCAAGTGATTGTACACGCGTTAAGGAATACCTCAGTACCGATTGCCGGGTGGCGGTACAAGTCCTCCAACGGGCCACTTTAGGTCTATTTAATTTCACTAACACGTCAAAAAAAGGTGGTGGACAAGGACCAGTCAACCGAGGCGATACCACCCGCTAGCTTTCCCCACGATGTCTTATAAATTTCCGCATGTTTCCACACCTCAGCTATGCAGTCGGTTATCTTCCAAATCAAAGAAATTAATGATGATGGATCCCTCAAGCACTGAGAACTCCGAACGTAAACTCACTCCATTCTCGGAATGTCCGGGTGGAGGGTGGGCTCGAGGGAACAACATCGAAGATAAAATTTGTTTTACGAACATCTGCGGGATTAACTGCAACATTGATGCTGTTCATCACTACCTGCAATCCAATCGTCCTGCCATGCTTTTCTTGCCGGAGACAAAAATCTCAGAGTCTGCACCGATTAACCATCTTAACTTCCCAAACCTCGAAGTGCACTCCAATCTGAGAAAGAACGAGGAAGTTGTGGCTTTTTTCCGCAGCAGTCTTTCCTGCTCCAGAGATGTTTCTTTGGAATCAGACCGGAAGGATATTCTGTGGCTTCGCCTCAACTCCAAAACATCCTCCAAATTTATTTGCTGCCTTCATCGCTCTACCTCGGGCCATAACTGGGATGACCTACTTGAATACCTTACCGTCAAGATCGACTTCCTGAACATCAATCACCCCGATTCAGAGGTAGTTTTCCTCGGTGATTTCAATGCCCATAATGAGCTTTGGTTCGGCTCAAACCAGACCGATGCATCAGGTCGTGCAGTCGAAGCGTTCGCTCTTACTCAAGGGCTGACCCAGCTGGTGACGAGCCCTAATTTTTCCCGTCGCGTCTCGTCTCACGCCAGTAGCCTGCTGGATCTCTTTCTGACCACGCACCCTGTCCCTTACAGCACTGCTGTCCTGTCCCCCCGGGAACTCAGACCACGGTGTTGTGGAGGTTAGGTTTCGGTCAGAAGCCGCTGTGGCAGCAGAAACTCGTACAGGCCGCAAAACTTGGCATTACGGACATCTCGACTGGGAGGGGCTCGGAGACTTCTTCTCTAGCTTTCCTTGGAGAGATGTCAGTTTCACTGACGCGGATGTGTCGGCTGTCTGTTCTTCAATAACCGAAATTATCCACGTCGGAATGGAGGAATACATCCCTCACACAGTGAAAGTGCCTAAACCAGGGTCCAACGGCTGGTTTAACAAAAAAAAAAACACTGTAGAAAACAGACAAGCCGACGTCGAGTCCAGAAACAAGTACATATAACGAAGCGGTTCGCAATGCCAAAAACCAGCACGATATAAAAGTTAGGCACAGGGTAATGTCGCAGCGCAATGCCAGTCGGTCTTTCTGGACTCTGGCCAAGCAGATTGAAAAGAATTTCGTACACAGTGGCCTTCTACCACTTACGTGTCAGGATGGGACGATTGTATTCGACTCAAAGGCCAAGGCGGAAGTGCTAGACTAGATTTTTGCTGCCAACTCCACCATGGACGTCCTCCCCAACGCGCAAGTGCCGTTAATTCAAGGGGTAACTTACACTATACGGGAGGCAACATTCAGGCGCAAGATCGTAAGACGAGTGCTCTTGTCGCTCGACACCAACAAAGCTTCTGGTCCAGACTTGATTCCTGTCATTGTACTGAAGAGGTGTGCAGCCGAGCTTGCTCCAGTTCTTTCGCGCTTTCACAAAAAAAAGGATCTAAGACCGACAATTACAACTACAGGCCTATAGCTCTGCTTTCTGTTATAAGTAAGGTGATGGAGAGGTGCATAAATCGCGATATTCTGGACTACCTCGAACGTCGCAGCTTGACTAGCGGCAGGCAGTATGGCTTCCGGCACCAACGATCAGGGTCACGCAATTATGGAGTAAACTCATCCAGCCTTATGGTGAGCCTCATGTCGTTGCTCTTGACATCACGAAAGCGTTCGATCAGCTGTGGCATGCTGTCCTCTTAAACAAACTTCCATCCTATGGCCTCCCAGAAAAGCTTTGCAGACGGGTGGCTGACTGTATCTCTGGCCGCAAGATATCCGTCGTAATTGACGGGTTCTCCTCTTCATCCCACAACGTCAACACGGATGTTCCCCAGGGATCGGTCTTAGCTCCGACACTGTTTCTCGTACATATTAACGACCTCTTTCCCTGCACGATCAACCCAATCCACAGCTTCGCTGATGATAGTACTCTACATGCAGGAATTCAGTGACAAGCCGATCTCTGCCGCTGAGCTGGAAACAAGAAGACTAGCGACGACTTCCTCTCTGACAAGAGACCTGGAGGCTATCACTGCATGAGGACGCAACAATCTTGTACAGTTCAATGCTTCCAAAACACAGTACTGTACTTTGACGAACAAAAAACGTCCAGCGCTCATCCGGTTTCGATGGATGGCTGAGTCCTGCCAAAGAGTCATTCATTTCGTCGGAGTCCAGATCACCGAGGACCTGATCTGGCACGAACACATTTCGTCAACAGCTGCAGCTGCTGGGAAAAAACTAGGCTATTTGTTTAGACCTAAAGAAGTATTTTTCTCCGCATGACCTTATCACTCTATACAAGGCTCCGATAAGGCCTAGCATCGAGTATTGCTCACACGTTTGGGGTGCTGCCGCTCCGACTACATTATCCATGCTCGAGGCTGTCCACAGGAGGGCGGTCCGCCTGATCGATGACTCTTCTATAACAGATAGTCTCAGGACTCTTTCGCACCGGCGGGCTGTCGGCGATCTAGCTCTTTTCTACAGCTACACCAACGGGCTTTGCTACTTAGAGCTCTCTTCCATGATGCCGGCGCGGGATGTGCCTGCCAGACAGACACGCCTGAATTTGGCATCCCATCCTAACCGTGTCGAACTTCGTACATCCAGAACTGGCCGATACGACCGCTCCTTTGTCCCGAGGGTGTCGAGATTTTGGAACAAGTGCAAACTTTTTTTGGGTGCTTTATGTTTATTGTGCACAATATTTCATATTTACTTGTATTTTGTGACAATAAACATTATTATTATTATTATTATTATTATCTATGAGAGGAAGCTTTTTCCAGTTCTACTAACCTTAGGCAGTTCAAAAATCGTATTAACAAAATTTCTTTGGGATCATCATAGCAGCAGCGGTGCTCCGGCATTTAGGCTTCTGCCTGCGCGGCTGTTTCGATATATATAAAAAAAATCGCTCGAAAAGTGTTAAATCATTCGTATGTGATTCATACCTTAAGACAATCGCAGATTAACACTGTAATTTTACCTGTAATAGGAAAAGTTAATTGTCATAACGCGATTTTCAATGTCAAAGGGAGTGGTACCATTAACCCGAGAAGCATCTAAGGGTTGACTATAGTAAGTCGAACTTAAGCCGCAGTGTGGCCGCAGCTTAACCTTTTTGGTTTGTCAGTGACATCAGCTGTCATGGATCACAAGAGACACTATTGGTGTATTTTTTAATTCACCGGTTGAGCAACCGGTGCCACCGGTGGACCAGACATCTGTCCTTTCAATTCAACCGGTTGCTGCCATCACCATACAAAGCTGTCAACAGTGTCAACCATAAGCATCAGTGGTGGAATCAACCGGTGAATTAAAGAATCCACCTACTTACAAACACCAAGCGTTACAGCTAATAGAAACAATAGTTCAGGCATAGAAGCAACGCTGCGCATCAACGATTACGAATTATTTGACCAGAATTTGAAAAACAAATTTACAGGCAACTGATATTTAACTTCCAAGTTATCTAATTACACAATGAATCAAAATTTGGCCATATCATGACGTGACCTATCGGCAGCTACAGGATTATCCTTTAATTTCTGGTCATCCTGTCTATACGAGGGATATCTTTTAAGTTTTGCATATGGAAATAAAACAACACGGTAGGTAGTTTTAAATGACTTTATTGTTTTTGGAAGTATTCTCCACGAATATTAATACACATCTGCATGCGCGCAAACCAATTTTCGAAGCACTTATTCCACTCGTCTGCTGGCAGACCCAAAACGGCATTTTTGAATGCGTTTACTGCTTCTTCTGGTGACTGGAACCTTTGACCACGCAGTCTGTTTTTAATTTTCGGGAAAGTAAAGAAATCGTTAGGACTTAGACCGAGACTATATGGAGGATGGTCAAAAAATTCCACGTTTTCTTCCGTTACATACTGCCTTGTTTTTTGGGCTGAGTGCGAGCTTGCATTGTCTTGGTGGAGGATGATTCTTCTTTTGGGGTTGATTTTTCGAAGCTCGGTGACAACTTTTGGCAAACAAATGGTGGTATACAAATCCGCAGTAACAGTTCTTTGCTCATTAAGAGGAATTGTTGAAATATGAGACCCGCTTTTGCCACAAATGTCGCGACCATCTTTTTCGAAACACTTCGAGAACGGATGACTTTTGTTGGCTTTTCTTCACCTTGGAACACCCAGCCACAGCCGCCTGTCGTTTATTTTCTGGTTCATAACTGTAAGTGAGGTTAAGATTCAGTACTGACGTTCGATCCGCGCGGTCTACTATGTTTCTATATGCAAAACTTAAAAGACATCCCTCGTATTCATATTTAAATAGTTCTAGTTCAATGCTGCCCTATTCCAACTTTACCGGTCGTAGATAAAATTTTGTATCTTGAGCATAATATACGTAGACGTAGTATTCGTATTCGGCGCTTCCCCCCTTGTTTCTTGATTTCACGCTGTGGACCACAAATGCCGTTTTTACGCCTCATACACATATATCATTCGATATAGCATTTCATGGGTCTGCCTCTTGCCTCAGCCATTTGGCAACGTCTATAAGCTGCATGACATCTATGGCAAATGCCAAAAATCACTTCACATTGACAATGACGTTTTTTGAAAATATGTCAATTCAAAAGTACCGCTATAATTAGTTGTTAAAATAAGCACTATTATCAATGATAAAATGATGTAACTAGTGAAATTTAAGTAAAGTTATAGTAATAATCAGTAAAGCTCTAGTCGCACTTATGATAACTTTGATCTGATAAAACTTTAACCTACAATTTAGTGATTCTATGCAACATTAAACACAATTGTAATGCGAAAGTTTCTTATTTACTTTTAACACATTTTATAACATACTCCAAAATGTTTCGCTCAAAATTACGGTCTATAGTAAAATATTCACTTATTGGAGGAGCTGTAGGGGGAACAGCCATCAGTCTTCATGCAAATCAATACCATATTGATTCCATTGGAATAGTAAGGCTAACTAGAGCGGCTTGTACGGTATTCCAAATAGGAGTGATATATAAAAGAGATCTCTATATGAAAGGTCTAGATAAAAAAAGTACAGAATACAAAGAACTGAAATCCCAATGCCATAAACGTAGTGCAGAGAAGCTGTTGGAGTTATGTTGTACAAATAAAGGAGTTTACATAAAAGTGGGACAGCATATTGCTGCGTTGGAATATCTGTTACCTAGTGAATATGTTGATACACTGAAAATTCTTCATTCTAATGCTCCAACTAATAAGCTAGAAGATGTTTATAGAGTTATAAAGGAGGATTTGAAACAAGAGGTGAGTCCTAAACTTGAATCCCTTTATGTAGCATTTGAACCTTATCCTGTGATTTTCATGCTGATAGAACTCCATGTTTTTCTGGCCAAATGAAACTACATATGTAAAAAATTACTCTTGACTGACATTCCTGCTACAATTGTAGCCTTTTTCAAAATACAGATCATTGCCACTTTGACCAGTGCCCTGAAAAAAGCAACCATGGTGACCAAAACATCAGTAAAGAGTAATTCCTACATATATGGTGATATTTGACCAGAAAAACATTAAGTCGTATTTGGATCCCATGTCTTGTTTCCCATACATCAGTAATATTACTATATTCTACATGTTTAGTCAGAATTCTTAATATTTTATTATATTTATCATATCATCTAGCTATAATAGAGTAGCTAGCAACATACAGCAGTATTTTAAGTATTTTTACCGTTAATTGTTACACATGTTTGACATTTCTGACTTATTTTACACCACTCTTTTCACTGCTTTTGGCAATTACAACACAATTCCAATTGAAATAAGTTAACAGACCTACTCGTTAATATCAAAAAAAAAAATAATTGCTGTAAGCTCTGAAAAGTTTAACTGAACATAGCACTTAAAAGACATAAATGTCGCATAAAAGCTTGCATCCTAAATAAGATAATTTATTTCTTGTTTACAGCCATCACAATTATTCTCTAGCTTTGATCCAAAACCATTAGGTACTGCCTCTTTAGCACAAGTTCATAAGGCTACGTTGAAAGATGGGACACCTGTTGCTGTAAAAGTTCAACATCCTTATGTTCAGGTAAATAACCATATAATAAAATCGAATATAATACAAGGGCAGTCAAATACGTTTTTCCTTGACTGTGCGTATTTTACGAACATGTTTTCTGGTTGTTAAGAAACATTTTTCAGCTCACATACTCCTTTATGCACTAGGGCGGCAAAGTAACTAGATGAACTCTCCTTATCAGTTTATTGCTATGCAATGGTGCAAATACTGGTGATACAGGCAATTCCATGTTTAATTGATTTCTCAGATGATGATAGACATTGTTTACTTTCGTTGCTCGTAGATAAAATTTTGTATGAGCGTTCATGTCCTTATGTATGTTACAACCTGCGGCACTTCGCGCTTTGGCCCTAATTACACGTCACGAGACATAACTCTGTTCTTTATCCCCTAGGTGCATATTATCTACCACTGGCCAGTATAGATCTTCTGGTAGTAAGTCTTGCTTTCCAGCCGGTAGACATTTTCATTTCATTTTCATGGCCTAATGTTCGAGCCTGCGTCACGTCCCTCCTTGGTGTCTAATTTCTCGCCGCAGGCCTTAAATGGCCTTTTTATGACCTAGGTACATAAATAACTGTTTCATTAACAGGGCAACTCTAAAGTTGATATGAAAACTATGGAATGTCTGGTGAAGATCATGAGTTGGGTGTTTCCAGAGTTTAAGTTTCAATGGCTTGTAGATGAATCAAAGAAAAATATCCCACAGGAATTGAATTTTTTGCAAGAAGGAAAGAATGCAGAAAAAATTGCTGATATGTTCAGAGATGTTGATTGGTTAAAAGTCCCAAAAGTAATGTAAGTGTTGAATCTAGAGCATTAAATTAATAGAGTGTGTATTAAACCATTGATTTTCAAAGTAAGGGGGGCGACGATTTATCAAGGGAGGCGCGCGGTGCGAAAGAAGCAAAATCAATTAAAAAAAAGTAGTTAAATTGGTCGAGTCTTTAAAGAAAAAGGTAGAATGTGGTCGATGTTTTTGCATATTTCTCACAAGTTTGTCAATCAATCAATTACAAGGCAGCGATTTAAACATAATACATCATCGGGACACGACGAAAATATCAAACTATTTGCAGCATCTAGCTGATAAATTCAAGCATTACTTTCCTTACGCGTACGATGACATTTTTTATCATTTGGCAATATGCCCTTTTCGCGTTAAAATAGATGCGCTTCCAGACACACTGCAAGAGTAAACTCTGGAAATGAAAATTGATTTTTTTGTCAATTATTATTTTGAGAAGAGGGTTTTGGGTAAAATATCTAGAAATTTCTCCCATCATAGCAGAGGAAGCATTGAACCTATTTTTACTTTTCCTAGCAGTTACTTGTGTGAAAGGGCATTTTAAGCAGCAATAAAAACAAGATACAGAAGCATGCTCGGAATTTTAAGTGATCTAAGTTGTGCACTATCCATATCCAGTTCAGGATAGGATCAATATCGTTTTAAAAAATATACAAGCTCATCCATTGCATTGATCAAGACCATTATGCCTATCTTTCTTTCATAATATTACCTACTTATGTAAAAGCATTTTTGTGTAATAGAACCTCAAATTGAATATTAATTTTGTTGATTTTGTGCCTTGTTGTATCCATTCTGTTTACATGATACCACCTACTTGTACCGACGGAGGGGGTGATACAAAAGTATCTAATTCATTGTTTTTATGTAGATGGAACTTGAGTACATCCAGGGTACTGACCATGGAATTTGTAGATGGTGGCCAAGTGAACGATCTAGAATACATCCAGAAACATAGGATTGATCCCAAAGAAGTATCTGACAAGCTAGGACAATTGTATTCTAGGATGATATTCATCAATGGTTTTGTACACAGCGATCCACATCCTGGAAATATCTTAGTGGGGAAAAACACAAAAGGGCATTGTGATATTATTTTGTTGGACCATGGCTTATATGCGGTAAGATTAGGTGAAAACTTTGACCTCGGATGTTTCTATGATAAGGATAACGTGCATTGATTATATTAGTTTAAACTTTTGAACGGTGTATCAAAAATATTTTATTCAAATTGAAAAGTCTGCACCTGCCTTTCAGCGACAGCATATGCACTACAAGATGGCAACGCAACTCCTGATGATATGAGCATGGCAGCTTTTCGTAGCGAATGACGGTCTCTCAAGGTCACAGAAATTAGACAAAAAAATCCGCGTATTTTGTAGAGATTTGCGTTGCTTTGTAGTATTGCGTATGTTGTACCTCAGCTTTGACTTACAGTACATACAGTATAGCGTGACTTAATTGGATACTCAATACGTCAATACATCTAGTTCCTCTTGAAATACAAAAACTCAATTTCAGACACTAAAAGACGAGTTTAGAGTAGAATATGCCAATTTATGGCTAGCCATTCTAAATAGAGATCGTGTGGCAATGAGGTACCACTGCAAGAATTTGGGAATTGAAGGCAATGCTTACGGACTCTTTGCTTGTATGATTACTGGAAGGACTTGGGATAGTATCATGAGAGGAATTGACAAGTAAGTTTGTCGACGACGGAATTTTGAAAATTATTAGTTGCGTTCATCAGAACACTAAATCTCATCTGAACCTATAAGAACAATAGGAGCTTATCATTCCTAACTAAAGATATAATTATGTGGGTATACAAAGCACGGGTATTACGTTTCTTGAGAAGTTACATTTTGTCCGTTTTTTGACATTTTATAGGTTTTTGTGACATAACGTAAGTTTTTGTACAAGATGTCAACTTAGCACTAGCTGTTGAACACTTGTTTTCTAGCTGTACATATTGTCTAAACATCATGATGCTTCAGCTATCAATGTTTGGCTCTGCTGTGATGTAACATCTGCTTCAGAGATGGCATTATGGGAGGTCTAAGCTGTAAGTTGTATACTATAGCTGGAATTAAACCACAGTACACAGGAGCATAGTCCATTGGTTTCTTGTCTCAAATCCATTTACTTGAGATGTATTCAAAGCTAGAAATTAGTTACGCATCCACGTTTTCTTATTTATTCTAGAATTTACATATGCAAATTTGCGGGATTTAAAAAATGAGAGAGATAAAATAAAATCTTTGTCACTTATTGTCAAACCAAAAAGGTTCAGATTATCCTCTAATTTGAAGGTCAGGTATTTTTTTGTTAGGTTTATATAGCGGAATTCACAGAATCATCACTTTTTTATTCTACATTGCAGTAACACCCCCTAGCGGCCATTTCAGAAACTTGAAAATATTTTCGAGGTTTTTCTCTAGGCCGTTTAGCAGTAACTTTTTTTGCCGCAAGTCTCTACGATGGATAGGTTCCCAGATACAGTACATCAAACTTAGTTGGCCACCCTGTACACTATAGAATTAATTATACAGTCATATACATGCTAACAATACATATACATACTCTTCCCAGTTTTTGAAACCAAAGGGAAACCCGTAATTTAGGCCCGTATCGTCAGTCGTCCCTACAATTTTAGGGCGTCTTTAGTCATAGTTTTTTACTTCTCCGTATCAGAACTCTCTGCTCCGTGTCAGCGCTCTATTTTGAGGTTATGTCACAAACATCTATTTGCATCAAGTTGTGCTTGCTTTCGAGTTATATCATGTTTTATCAGCCTGAAATTTCCTACAATTTAAAAAGAAAACATATCTTCACAATAGGAGAGCGCTGACGCTGACACGGGAAATGTGTAATCTAGAAATTTTTGAAGGAGAGAAAGGAGTATGACAATCAAGGAGGCCATAAACGCGCCCTACAATTGTGGGGACGACTGACGATACGGGCCTTATTACTTTGAACATAACCTGTCTTCAGAAAGGACAACATATAAATAACCCCTCGGGCACAGCTAATAGATATACTTCATTTGGCAGTTTCTATACATAGCCAATACCACTGATTTTATACATTTGCGTCCAATACACATAATCATCCAGAGCCCACCTTTCACATCTTCTTAGAGATAAACACTACTTGACTTTCTGCAACCAGCAGTGCATGCTAGAGCGTGTCATGTCGTTTCGTTGAGTCATTCCTCCATAGATGGACGTTGTTGATGACGCTGACAGCGATTATAGCGAAAAAACGTGGAATGAACTAGTCTGTAGTCTGCAAGATGACATTTTGTCGTTTTTTTTTACTTTTCTTAGATTTTTTACATAATACTCCTGCCGATGACAGAAAATCGCATTGCAAAACTAAGTATTTACTTTTAAGCTCTGTTTTTCAATCGCTGGTTAACTTTCAGGTTTGGTAACTATAATAACTCGTAAATTAACTACTAGTTGTCTCTCAATTCGTTTTCCAATCTCTGAGCCGCTTTTAAGTGCCTCATTTGTGTTACTCGGAGTAACTCGGTGCTCCCCACCACCTGTCACTTTGGAAATCACCTGCCCCCTCATGCACTAGCTTTTTAGTCGGTATCATATGCTCCGAAAAAATTGGGGATAATGAAAATGACAATGTGTCAAGATTGTTAGGTTATGTTTTTTCATCGTTTTTGGTTTTTTGCATTAAACTCACATTAAACAGATACCAGACAATGGAGGATTGTAAAAATGGTGAGTTAATTGATCTTACTATTGGTGTTAATGAAATATTAGATTTATGTGTTTTAGATAGTCCATGAAATGTGGTGATTTGCATAGTGACTAGTAAGGGATGTTCTTTCTTGGCTGTCTGTTTTATTTAATATTACATTCGCGTTCACTTTGCGGTTAGTAGCATACATAATAATTTTATCATCTTGTTTCAGTGAACGAATTGCGTGTCTCTCATTTTTTGTTAAATTTGGAACTACGTTTGCTTTTGACTTTATATATTTCAATTTTAGAACGTACTTCATCTCTGAGATTTTCTGGTAATTGACTAGCTGTTAAGGGGCGACGGCAAAATTAAGTCCTTTCGATAAGATGGACTCTTTATTGTCTGTCAGTGAAAGTGTGTGAAAGGTAAATTAAAATTACAGATCTTTGTGGCGTAGGTGTATGAAAGGATCCAGCATCATAAAAGAGTTGCTATGCAAACGAGACAAAGTATAGAGAATATTTCAACCAGGTCGTCAGTCATTAAGGTTTTGAAATAATGAGGGATATAGTAAAATTAATTTATAATAGGGAATATAATCAACTCAAAGAAAGCCAGATTCGTAGATTCTATAGGCTCTTAGAAGGACGTGAACGAAATGGTTCTACAAGTACACCTACACTATAACCGACAGAGTCCATCTCATCCAAAGGTCATAATTTTGGCGTCTCTCCTAAATATATTCCATTTTTCAATAGTATTAGTTCAATAGAAAAAACAGCTGGTCAATTGCCCGAAAACATAGAAATGGATTTAAGGCGCGTTCTAAAATTGAAATACAAAAATCAAAATAAAATCTAGGTACAAATTTAACCAAAAACAAGAGACAAGCAATTCGTTCACTGAAACATAACGATAACATTATTACGTTACCAGCTGACAAAGGGAACGCGACCGTAGTATTGAATAAAATAGACTATGAAGAAGAAAACAAACACATAATAGAATGTGGAAATTGCACTACACGCAATAAACATCCAACAAATAGCATAGAAAATAAAGTATACAAAACTCTTTCCAATATAAAAACGAGTTAACCAGCTGAAAAAGCACATTGCTTACTATAGTCCCCACCACATACCACCATTTCTATGAACTACTTAAAATACATAAACATAATATGCCATTAGGTCCAATTTGCTCACCGTGTAGCAAACTAAGAAAATACTTGTTAACTATTATAAATAAATTAGCATATATAACAGAATCGTATATAGAAAGTCAACACTTGTTAGAACAATGATCCAACATCAAATCAACACTAATAATTTTATAGTGGTAGGTAGTTTAGTCTGTCAACCTAAATGCAAGAATGAAGATTACAATTTTTTTCTTCGCTCGAGTGCGTAGAACTGGTAACTTTATAAAAATTTTGACTAAAAGATTAAAAATTAGACATTTGAAGCTTGAAAAAGGTCAAGTTGAAAAACGCTACTCTTAGCGACACTCCGCCTTTTTGTACTTTTGTACGAAAAAAAGCCCATTTATATATCATCATTATTATTAAAGTGCTTCTTTTAGAACCTCAATACGACCATTTTTTATTGAGATATGGCACTCCAAAGAATCACTAAAAATGTACAGTTTTTATCAGATCCCTTATGGAATATTGGCATATGCCGTAACTGTAGAAAATTGTATGGCATACAACTTTCCCAATAGGCCCTACCAGATATTTCAAAAAAACTATTTTTGTGCACATTTAACCTTGAATAACGAAGATGCACGCCCATTGAGAAGAAGAGAAGCGAAACTCTTTCGGGTTCCGTTTCTCATACTCCAATAAAAGCCCGCGCGCTGAAGCGACGTGTCACGTTTGACTCGTACAAATGACAGATCGCATCTCTTCGCTTCAATGAGCGTACAACACACAAGATATCATGTGATTCTTTTTAGCTAAGTTATAGTAAAAATTCTGAGGTTGAAGCCTTACATCTCATGGGATATTTGTCTTTTAGGGGCGGCATGACAAAAAGTGAGAAAAAACTAATGAAACAGAGTTTCACTAGTATACTACCCCAAATATCGGAAGTGTTACAAAACGTGGACCCTCAAATGTTACTTATTCTTAAAACCAATGATCTAATGAGAGGAATAGAACATACATTGAGAACTGGCGCAAGGATGGGTGCCTTCAGAGAAATGTCGCAGTGCTGTATAAAATCTGTATATAACTTGAAATACTGCAAAACTGAGAACAGACTAGAAAGGTTGAAGATATACTTGGCAGAGTTTTGGGCTTTGCTCAAGATTAATATGTATTATACGTTGTTAAACATTAAGAATTTTTGCACTATACATAGTTGATAAAATGTATGTATATAGTTGGTCTTTGAAGGTGATGTATTTCTATTACACTGACTGGTAACTGTAAGTGGCGTCCGATTAACAGCATAAAAACATTTTGAAAATAAATTGTAGGACAGGCCACTTCACTCAGCCTAAAGATGCATCCAGGCTCACTGAGGATGAAACATGACAAGAAGCGCGGCAAACTTCGTCTAGTTACTCTTTTTACTCTGGAGGCTTATCGTGTGTAAAAAGCAAGTGTGCACCTAGGCGCTACTGCCACTTTATTGGTGTAATAGAAAGACGTCTAACACTAGAAAAAGGGTGGAACAAATTTTAGGAAGAATTGTTGGATCTTTGTACTTCCCATATTTTCCAAACATATTTTTTGCATAGGTAGTTATTTTTTATATTGTCTATTTATTTATTTATTTCTGTAATCTGTTGAAAGAAAATAAATGTTCCAGAAAATATTTTTTATTTACTTGGAGAAGCTGAAATTCAACATATGTATGCATTCATATTCTCTTGTACATACGTACCTACATGTTATTGCCCATCAAATGGCGTCAAGAAGGTTGACTCTTCACTTCCTACGCAAGACTGTCATCAGTTCATAAGGGACTATGTTCGGCCCAAGTAAGTCCCTTTAAGCTAGCTACAAACATGTAAAACAAAAAAATTAAATGGGTCAAGTCAGCTAAACAGGTCCATATACAATTAGTACATAGACTCCATCCATTTGATAAGGCTAACGCTAGTTTTCTCCATGCCTTGTGTATCGACCATCTGGCAACGCTGCTGCCACACCAGTCAAACACGTCATAAACGCCCGCCACGATACTATAACAACGTTCGTTGTATGAAAGTCACTGTAGCATCGCCTCATCCTTGACCGCGTCGCGTTTTTATCTTTTTAGAAGTTATAAGGGCTAATGTACGCGGAAATCCGTGATGTGTGAAATATGCGCGGATAAGTGCTTAAAATTACTGGGGTTGGAAGCCAACAAAATGAGAATCCTTGCCCGACCCCCGATTTCAACCCTATACAAATTTTTTTCTGAAAATGATCAGGAGCTTCTGAAACGTTAAAAACGAGGTTTGAGCAATTTTTTTTTTCGTGTTTTTGCCCCTAGCTCCGCAGCCATTGGACCAATGTTCAAAAACTACACAGCTTTTTCATCCATGGCATAGTATAAACCTTTTTTTTGAAAATTTCATCCTAATCCGATCCTTTCCAAGGTATAGGATGTTCAAAGATTATCGGACAAACATACCGAAAAAACAAAGAGGAAAATAGTTTTTTGTGATGCACGTCATATAACACCAGAAAAACATATCTCATTTTCGAAATTACAATATACTTCGTCGCCAGTAGGCAAACTTGGGGATCCAGATGTGCACCACTCGCGTCCATCTCTCCAAGTTCGCCAATGCAAAAGACGAATGGCTGCTCTTTTGTCATTCTCCAAGTATTGTCGCGCTTCTCTTCGAGTAAATCAAATTAATTATTGATAACTATTAATTACGACACTACGAAAGGCTGAACCATATGTACCACATTTGCGATCGACGACAAATGTATTCCAAGTATCCTCGTTCCGTCGACGACCTGCCACGATCTCATGAAATTTTCCCGCCTTTTAATACAGAAACAAAATATATCCTATATTACACGAGTATCCATCACGCTTTGACGTTTACTGAAGTGAACAGCAAATCAGCAAGTGATATTTTTGTAAGAGTCTGCAATGTTGGCAATAATGAATCGGGTGTAAATCTAGTAAAACTTGTTTGTAGCGTTTTGTTTTTTGTATGCAAATTAACTTTTCTAAATAAAAGAGCTTTTAGCAAGTACAAAATGAATCTGTAGTGTACAAAAAATCGAAACAAAATATGGCTCAGTCTACCTGGCATTGACGGATCCGTGAGAATTATGTGTCCTTTGCGGATATGGGGAATTTTGGAACATTACTAGATAATTAGCTGTCATTTTATCGTACTGGATACGCGTGAAAAAGACCGTAGCCGCCACGTGTGAACAACTTGAAACCAATAACCCTCAATACATTGCCGCTTTTGGAGGGATCGATAATACAGGTTTCGTAAGATTTTAAATTATTTGAAAATAGCCATACTACAGAAACCTTATTATTAAGGTTTGATTTTTCCTTGAGCAGGTCAATTCTTGAATGAGAGAAAATAACTAACTGAATGTGGTTGTGGCTCTATTACATTTCAGGGAAATGGATTCTTTAAAATCTGATACAAGAGTCGCTCCTCATATCATTTTCAGGAGAAAGAATGCGGCATCGTTCAATCATCAGTCTCGTCCTGTGAAGGCGAATTTAACTTTATGATGAAATATCTAATGATATGAGGACCTTGTGAACATATTTTCCGTAAAAAAAAAACGACAGAGGCAGACAGAACAAATGGATCCACACAAGGTTAGTTCTTGAAATGAGGGAGTAGAATAACTGGGAGAAAGTGGGCAATGTTCTCTTTCCTTTCGGGGAATTGTCGCTCCCTGAGTCAATTTTGGGAGAAAGAACCACGAACATATTATTTTGCAAAAAAAATGTAAACATTATCAAACTTATTTGACAAAGGTCAGCAGCTGGAAGATTTTGGGATTATTCCAGATGCAGCATTCTATTTTACTATCACAAGATTTGACCACTGGTGTAGATGAAGAGACATCAGGTCAAACATTGAAAAACAAGATACATATAATGGAAAAAATATATTTACAATCAACTTTTCATAATGTGTACAGCTATCTATATGTAACTATTGGTTAAAATATTTCATTATCAAAATTTGAATAATTAATTTGAGGTATTTGAACTTTGGCTAGTGTTTACATTACAGCAAATATGTAATTCAATTCTTATGTCAAAACATATCAACATCAACAAATGTTTTTGACTATACAGTGCTTTTCAAAAAGTCCCAAACTCAACTTATTTTTTGAATGGGTCAGGTTAGTAAGCTGAAATTCTGGGTAAATGAAATTGAATGGCGAGTCGTGTGATCTCTTATTTTGAATCCCTTTATGACTACTATTTCAAAATCACTATATTTGAAAATGGTGCACTGAGAGGTTGCCAAAGTTGAGCGTTTTTGTATGTTGGTCCTTATATAACCAATCACCAAAATGATATATGTTACATCAATATGTTTCTCTTGGAAGGATCTATGATCTATCCAAATATGTAATAACAATGAATATTCTATTAAAAAAAGCCAAAATAATTCAATTATGTTAACACATTCACTGCCGCACCGCATCGAAAAAGTCTCTGAGTTAATTTTGATGACAAAAAAATGTTAGCACACGGGGAAAATTTTCAAAATATATGGTAGCAGCGAATGTGTTAAACTGATAGAGCCTTCCAAAAGAAAAATACTGATATCACATAACATTTTAATTATTAGTTGTTGAGTTGAATACACAAAAGCGCCCAACTTTGACAGCTTGCCAGTCTGCCATTTTGAAGGATAGTAATATTATATTCTAGGGTTATAAAGTACTCATAAGGATCTTCAAAATAATGTATCACACAACCCCTCATTCCATTTAAAAAAAAATTATTCAAGGAGGCGCCCAGTCGCCATCTTGAAATATTTAACTGTTATTTTTAGAATAAAATATAGTATTTCATGCATCAATTTCATCATCCCAAATTTCAGCTAGCTAACTTGACCCATTAAAAAAATAAGTAGGAGGGGGCGCTTCAGGAAAGCGCTGTACGTTGTAAGAGTTACACATATTTATTACAAATATAATTTATAGAGTCCTGCTGATCATATACATTGTTTTGTTTCCAACAGTGTTCAACAGTAGCAAACCATTTTTTACAATGGACTGGGTTATTTCATTATGTAGGTAGGAAGTCATTTAATAAATATGTTTGGATTATATATGACAGTTCATGATAGAAACACCTTTTTTGGGACTATCTGATTGAAAGCACTTTTGCACTCTATATACACTATATAAGAATCATCTATTAAAATATTACTTGTAGCAAAAATATTCAACTGACTGTTTTAAGTACTTTTATAAAATGTTACTCCTGCAAAAAGTATTTGTACTCTTGGTATACCTGATTTGTGCTCATGTATTTGGATATATATCACATTAAAAATCGTATTACTGGAAATGTGACACATTTTTCCCAATAGAAGTAATCCATAAATGCTAGTCATATTTAAACTACATTTTATCTTTTCTAAAAATGAATTATGTATAACAACATATGCTAGTTAAGTTTTTTAAGAGCAACAGTTGAACTTTAATAATTAAATAATGTAAAATTAGCTACAGAATCTGATTTGAAGTTAGTTATTTTCTTCTCATATAATTACTGACTGTTTATAGGATATACAGTGAATCTTTAATTTCAATATTGCAATGTTATGAAAATTTTCCTCAACATTGGAGTATTTTGCAAAAATATACTGATATTTAGTTAGATTTAGTTTATGTACGAGCCCCTTCCCACTTCAGTTGGCCCAACTATTGAAATCCTAGTTTTTTTCTTATCAAACACAAATAATAAAAATGTCGCAGGGTGTTAAAGGTTTAAAATATTAACTAAGAATATTTTGATAATATATAGTAGAAAACACCAGCTTCATCACTCCCTAACAAATTTGCAGCATAAAAATATCACATGTTGCAATTACAGCATATCAACCTATTTTCATTTCAATGCTAAATAAGTCTATAAAGCATAGGTGGCTGTGAAAAATAAAAGCCTTGACAATTCTTTTTATTAATCACAGCTGTCAGAATACGTTTAAAATAGTTTTGGGTAGTTAAGGTTTTCAAAATGGGTAGAGGAAAGGTTATTAGTGAGAAAATTCGGTTAGCGATAATTAAATTTTTAATTCTGGGAAATCAAACTCAGAAATTGCAACTTTGTTAGACTTATCGCGGTACAAAGTGAGAAATATTGTTAGAAGATATAACTTAACAGGTTCAGTTAATATTAAGCCACGATATGTGAAAAAAAGTAATATCACAAATGCCGACCGAAGAGCATTAAGAAGAATAATCGTGAAAAACAGGAGTGCCAATTATTTACAATTAAGTGCTCTGTGGAGTGACGCTGTTAGAAGGAGAATTTCGAGGTCCACAACTCAGAGAGGCCCACAACTGGGATTTAGCACTTGCAAGGTAAGTTTTCTTATAAAAAAAAGTGAAGTAAAAACCCTAAAGTTGCACAACTTGTTTATAGGCCAAAGAAAAGCCACTATTAACTCCACTGCAAAAGAAAAATCGGCTTAGATGGGCTAAAGAACAGAGACAATGGACACCTCAACAATGGTGTACAATACAATGGAGTGATGAGGCCCGATTCGAAGCTTGTGTTGGTGATAGTCACAGTAGTTATTCGCAAAAAAAATGAAGCATTCCATGTTGATTGTCTGAAGAGAAAAGTGAAATTTCCAGCATCCATTATGGTCTGGGGCAGTATGTCATCAAAAGGAGTAGGAAAACTTCATTGTATTGATGGAAATGTGGATACAAACAAATATTTGGCAATTTTAGAAGAATCGCTTGACATCCGGCCAAGATTTTGTGTTTCAGCAAGATGGTGCAGCATGCCATACCTCAAAAAGGCTATAAAATGGATGGAAGAAAATAATGTACCACTTTTGAAATGGGTATCTAGCAGTCCAGGTCTGTCACCTATTGAAACTTCGTGGCACAATTATACGACAACATCCTGCTCATACAATCACTGAACTGAGACAAAAGCTTCAAGAAATATGGGATTGTTTTACACCAAATTTTTGCCAAAACTTGGTTAACACTGTGCCCCAAAGAATAATTTCAGCCGTAATAAAAAATAAAGGTGATGTTACCGAATGGTAATCTTTCAATTGTTGCTTTGTTAACTTCGCGCATTTATTCGCACATTGTTTATTTGTTCAGATGTTCTATTAGCTATAGGTCTAAGTGATTTCAAATATGTATTTTTTACGACTAGAGTGTATCTAAAATGTTTTTGAGAAAATAAATTGTTTTAGAAGTAAATAGTTTTGTCATGTTTAGTTTATAAAGGCATATTTTGGTACAAATCTTGAAGTGGGCCAACTGAAGTGGGAAGGGGCTCGTAATACACATTACCTTTATGAATTAGTGTGACTATTGGCAATATGCATCACATGGAATTATAATTTTTGTTAACATATTAATCAATCTTATGTTGATCATGTGATATTAAACTATAAGAAGAATGTGGCATTTCAAATTGAAATGTCAGTATCCATATGATACCAAATGTTATATAATATCAAACTGATGCTAGCATAAATGTGGAGTATTTAGATTAGAAAACATTAGAATTTTAAACTGACAATTTTCTTTTGACACTATTAATCAGGTTAAATTCCACAATGGACCTTAAAAGCTAATCAGCTTACAGGTTTTACAAATTGCTTTTCATAGTTATGTCATACTTTTGGGAGTGCTGGTTTTTTATACCCTATTTCACAAGTATCCATCACACTTTGATGTCTACTGAGATAAACAGCTGATCAGCAAGTCACATGTGTTAGTCTGCAACATTGGCATCAATTGATCACATAAATCTAATAAAACTTGATTCTGGCGTTTTGTTGTTTGTATGCAAATGAACTTTCCTAAATAAACCAAAACAAAATTCTGCTCTGTCTACCTGGCATTAACAGATCCGTCAGAATTATGTGTCCTGTGCTGATATGCAGAATTTTGGTATATTACTAGATTAAATCAGTTGTCATTCTGCCTTGATGGATACTCATGAAATAGGGTATAGTATTGAAAGTCAGTTTAAAATTAAAATGTCTCCTAACCTGAAATACCCTGCCTATACTGTAACTACTGAATGGTTTTATTTCCTAAATAAACCCTTCTAGCCGATGTTGCTATGAAGTTTGAGAATAATCGTTTTCAAATCATGATAATCATTTCCTCGCACTATGTTCAGTTTCTATAAGACACTCCCTTACTAAGATCCTGGCAGACACAATGTTTCTTTTGAGGCGTTCAGCAGATGACCGACTACCTGCATAAGTAGGGCGTACCTCCCTTCCCATTTCCTCTATTACTGCAAGCAACTGGGCATACTTGGATAAGCTAGTATCTGTCTTAGGTACTGTCAAAGGTTGAGACTGCATCTGTACAGGAGGAGGTTTGGTGGTCATTGGTATGGCTGTTACAGTAACATCACTCAACTTAGATTCTACAGCTTGTATGTCTACTGTTTCCATCTGTAAGCATGTTGAAAATATTTAAAAACAAATCATTCCCATCCACCTCATTGTTATATACCTTGTGATCCTGAATGAATACAGATTTAAATCGTCAATAAATTTAGAAGTTGATGTAAACTAATATAGGCTTAAAATCATTTCAATTCTACCTAGTTTTTATTTGATTCGCATCTATTTTGTATTTTCTGTACAATAAAAAATCAGAAATGTAAACCAAAACAACGGTAATTATGACAAGTAGCCCACAAATGTAAACTCACAAAACATATACACTGAAGAAGGATTAATTCCATGCTATTCAATGGCAACACGGTGACTTGTATGGTTGTCAGCGGCCATTTTTTGAGGGTGCGACATTGTTGCCAGATTGTGCATTAATATGCCGCAACGTTGCCAGCTCTACATATAAATCTGAGATATAGAAATTTGGTGGGATATGGGAGATCTTGTAACAGCATGATTGTGTTATTAACATTTTGCGCTATCTTGACGAATAAATGCTTTTTTTGTATGTTAAAATAGCAACATCAATAACACAAGCTGTTATAAGATCACTCATATCTACTTACTAATCTGAAAAGGTTCAGAAGAAAGACATATACTGCAAATACCTAAATATACTTATTTGTTATATAAATCTCATACATTTTTCAACAAACAAATTAGTATTAACATCATTATGGTCCAGATGTTTGCATTCCTCAGCCTTTGTTGGCACCTGCATAAATTAAAAATTAGAAATACATTGAATTGTGTTGATATGTTTCTACAATTCACAGATTTCTTTTTTTATTAGACCAATAACATGATTGTCCACGGGTACCCACAGAAATTTTTCTCAGATGTGCCGATCATCATCAAGGGATAACTGTTACCACAGCCCCCCTGAGGGCACCCATGTTATTGTTCAATAACAATACTTGGCTTTGATTTCATTAAAATTCTAGTGAGCTTTACATATCAACCCTACTGCTCTGACAATAGCTGATTTAAAACGAAGTATGAAAACTAACTTGGACAAAAAGCAGTACAAATCATCATTAGTTATTGAGTCATATAAAAACTTACAAATGTTGTGTTCTGCAAATATCCTTCACAGCTGAGCCTTTTGGTTAGATCAGAAGTAATCTCTGAGCTTCTGATAATTCTCAGGACCTCAGGGGTTGACAACGGCACCTGTTGAACTTTTCGTGGTGCTCCACTGTTCAAAGAGTGATGTGGAGATACAAACAGGAACGATCTTCAAATATTACATTCCTAAAATAAAAAAAATCTCTGATCTTCCTCAGGATCTGCCAGAAGCCTGGCACATGACTTAGATCACCTTAAAAAAGAAAGTTTTCATGTGGAGTTTGTCTTATACTATTTACAAACATAGGTATTACATCTTAGTGTACTTACAATGTTATACTTCACAACTCCGAACAAAATGCATATGGCTCAAATAATAGGGACCTTGCTAATTAAAATGAAATGTTAAGAAAATGACATGCCAGACATGCTGAAAAAGTAGGATTATTTTTGCAAAGCACAGAGCGCAGGAAGAATCCCGCCGGAAATTTAAATCTGGCCAATGGGACAACGTAAGTTGTGAATAAGTCGCCATTTTTTGAGAGTGCGACATGGTTGTCATATAATGCACCAGCAACACTGCTTTGTTTCCCATTCGCCAACATGAGTTTCACCCCCCTGTGTTAACTCGTTAACTGCACTCTGGTTGAGAGTCGACGCTAATGAAAATGCAAATTAACATTTTCGTCGCCATCTTCTAGGCTACGAACCGAAGGGCTTGAGGCAACTTGGAAGCAACAAAGCATCTTAGGCCACATTAACTTTATTTTGAAAAAACTAAAAAGATTTGCGTAAATCCGGAAAACACGTTTTTTGCTTAATTTTGAATGCAATATGTATGAAAAATAAATTTATTTTTGAAAGTATTGTGTTGCAATAAACGTTCTATTCTAAGGGTAATAATTTGGTAATGGGTATGTTTAAGAAGCATATTACCTTTATGCCAGCCGCTCTGCACACGTAGATTTCGGTTTTATCTAAAAGTTATATGTTTTATTTCTGCGGTAAAAATATCTTATATTCACATTCCAACCAACCAACCAATCAAGTGTCTTAAAGGGAAGAGCTAACTTTCACGTCAAAAAATACAATAGTTGTTTAATACCTTAATTAAGAAATCAGAAAAACATATTTCATATAATGCTGTTCCAGTTTATTTTTCAAGAGCCTGAGTAAAGAAGAAAAGTGGGGGAGAATTTCCCACTCGAAGCGTTTAGGGGAATACCAAGACCCACCATTCATCCATCTTAAATCCCTTCAATTTTTAACTCTATTTTATTCATTATTCATTTGTTCCTGGAAGAGGTCATAAATAGTTATTTCTAGTTACTATCCCTGTTATGGAAGAATCGATGAACAGCGAAGAGGCTTAGTACCACTGGGCTTGTCATTCAAAAGACAATTTGTTACAAAATGCTTTATATCAGGCAGTTAGTACTGATTTTTAAATTTTATTTGTTTAAGTATTTTATTGTGAAATAGTCACGTCTTTAGGGTCACTTAAAAATAAACGGATATGTCATAAAACCTAACCCACGCAACATACACCACATTTAATTTACAATTAAAAACCGGGGCTTACGGTCTTAAATATGACACATATAGTATGCCTTATCTTCTGCTGACGAGTAGTGTCGCACGATTTGTTGAACCACATGTTGGATCATGGCTCAGGCACTTTCTTTGTATGACGGGTGTATTCCTCCATCCAAACTTGGATAATGTCGGTTATCGATAAACAGTCAGCCGACGCATCCGCGACAGCAAAACTAACATATCTGCAAAGAAAGGTGGAGAAGAAGTCTCTGAGCCCCTCCCGAGTCGAATAGCGAATGCTTCAACTGCTCGACCTGCTGTATCGGTCTTGTCTGAGCCCAACCAAAGCTCATTATAAGCATTGAAATCTCCGAGGAGAACTACCTCTGAAGAGGGGTGATTGATGTTGAGAAAGTAGATCTTGACGACGAGTTGAATACCGCAGGTCATCTCAGTTATGGTCCGAGGAAGAGCGCTAAAGGGAGCAAATAAATTTGGGGTATGTTTTGGAGTTGAGACGAAGCCACAGAATGTGCTTCCGGTCTGATTCCAAAGAAACATCTCTGGAGCAGGAAAGACTGCTGCGGTCAAAAGCCACAACTCCCCCGTTCTTTCTCAGATTGGAGTGCACCTCGTAATTTGAGAAGCTAAGATGAATAGTCGGTGCATTGTCTGAGATTTTTGTCTCCGCCAAGAAAATAATGGAGGGACGATTGGATTTCAGGTAGTGATGAACATCATCAACGTTGCTGTTAATCCCGCAGATGTTCTTGAAACAAATTTTATCATCGATGTTGTTCCCTAGAGTCCACCCTCCACCCTGGCATTCCGAGAGTGGAGTAAATTCTCAGTACTCAAGGGATGTGCATAAAACTAATGCAACTAATAACTGCTTATTGGCCGATTACTTCTGCCCTACTATAACTCACAATAGACGTGCGGGACGTTTCGGGATCGTTTTGTTTTGTGTGGCTAGAAGAGTCGACTACCTCATTGGCAATGGAGAATTTTCAGTATATTTATAAGTTGGGCCTTAAGAAGGGAGGGCTTAAAACAGTTGGTGGTCGCAAAATTGAACAAAACACAACACGAAGGTTCCACTTTATTTTAACTAGAAGCAAATACAATTAGGTTTGTTACAGTAACGCTTATCAAGTTAGGAATGATAGCTGTGCTGATGGAGAACATTCGAGCAACTGAAGCTCTTGGCATATACAGCTTGCATATATCCAGTAAAAGAAGGACTTCGTTATTCCTGCGGTTGTTTAAATACAAGCAATCTTTGAATTCTGCATTAATGTGGAGAACCTTTTTAGCTTCTCTTAACATTTTGTCGCAGCTCAGTATTATGGCAAGCGATGCAGGCTAAAAATTACAGAAAACATAGAACATATGTGAAGAGTACAGTCCACAAGGGTTATTATTATTTATTTATGCTAAGCTCAAGGCCTTGCCTTTTGCAGGATATTCATTTATAGATGTGATATTAGCTACATCTTTATATAATGTGTGATATTTTTTATATAATGATGAATCAATATTTGAATTAGGCCATTCCATAATCCAGGGTGGCGCAAAATGAACATTATTTATGAAGCATTCGATTATAAAAATGTATTTCCTTATTTTTTTGGCTTTAGTAGAGAAGGCTTGGTGAATATTGAAAGTATTAAGCGATACATCACAGAGCAGCGAAGGCCATCTTAGTTAAATTTTCGTTAACAGAAGACAGTATTAGACTGTGTAGTGCTGGAAGACGATGCGCAGCATTGACAAGTCAGACTATCAAACCTTTACGTAAAAGGTTAAAAGAAAGTCCAGCATCAACTCCTGGTGATCAAAGTTGAATAATCATGCAATATGTTGAGGGCTGTGCTGCGCTGTGCAAAATATTCTAAGGAATTTGAACCATCACGTTCTTAACGCGTCATGCCGTATATGATCACCTTCCAAATGCATAATCTTTCATCGGTCCTTAGGTTTTCATGGAATAAACCTTGGATATGTATTGTGACGATAAATAGTACTGTTGGCGCATCTGTTGGGAGAGTCTCCTACTCGCCAGAGCTTCATGGCCGATCTCTGCTTTTACGCGGACCACGCTCGCACAAGCTGCTTGGCGGCGTCTGTGAGGACCGTGGCAGGGACTCGCCTTCTAGATCGATGCGAAGTAACCGCGACTATTCTGGAAGGCCGCTATGTGGCTCCGGATTCATCTCGACTCAACGATGCGGACTACGAGCCCCTTCCCACTTGAGTTGGCCTACTTCAAGATTTGTACCAAAATATGCCTTTATAAACTAAACATGACGAAACTATTTACTTCTAAACCAATTTATTTTCTCAAAAACATTTTAGATACACTCTAGTAGTAAAAAATACATATTTGAAATCACTTAGACCTATAACTAATAGACCATCTGAACAAATAAACAATGTGCGAATAAATGCGCGAAGTTAGCAAAGCAACAATTGAAAGATTACCATTGGGTAACATCACCTCTATTTTTTATTACGGCTGAAATTCTTTGGGGCATAGTATTAACCAAGTTTTGGCAAAAATTTGGTGTAAAACAATTCCCAATTTCTTGAAGCTTTTTTCTCAGTTCGGTGATTGTACGAGCAGGATGTTGTCGTAGAAGCTTTTTCATCTCGTGCCATCTGGACTGCTAGAAACCCATTTCAAAAGTGGTGGTACATTATTTTCTTCCATTCATTTTATAGCCTTTTTTGAGGTATGGCACTCTGCACCATCTTGCTGAAACACAAAATCTTGGCCGGATGTCAAACATTCTTCCATCACTGGTAAAAGCGATTCTTCTAAAATTTCCAAATATTTGTTTGTATCCACATTTCCATCAATAAAATGAAGTTTTCCTACTCCTTTTGATGACATACTACCCCAGACCATAATGGATGCTGGAAATTTCACTTTTCTCTTCAGACAGTCAACATGGAATGCTTCATTTTTTTGCGAATAACTCTACTGCGACTGTCACCAACACAAACTTCGAATCGGGTCTCATCACTCCATTGTATTGCACACCATTGTTGAGGTGTCCATTGTCTCTGTTCTTTAGCCCATCTAAGCCGATTTTTCTTTTGCAGTGGAGTTAATAGTGGCTTTTCTTTGGCATATAAACAAGTTGTGCAACTTTAGGGTTTTTACTTCACTTTTTTTTATAAGATAACTTACCTTGCATGTGCTAAGTCCCAGTTTGTGGGCATCTCTATGACTTGTGGACCTCGAAGTTCTCCTTCCAACAGCGTCACTCCACAGAGCACCTAATTGTAAATAATTGGCACGCCTGTTTTTCAGAATTAGGTATTCTTCGGTCGGCATTTTTTTCACATATCGTGGCTTAATATTAACTGAACCAGTTACGTAATATCTGCTAACAATATTTCTCACACTGTACCGCGATAAGTCAAACAAAGTTGCAATTTCTGGGTTTGATTTCCCAGAATTAAAAAGTTTAATTATCAGTAACCGAATTTTCTCACTAATAACCTTTCCTCTACCCATTTTGAAAACCTTAACTACCCAAAACTATTTTAAACGTATTCTGACAGCTGTGCTTAATAAAAACAATTGACTTTTATTTTTCACAGCCACCTATGCGTTGTAGACTTAGGCCCGTATCGTCAGTCGTCCCTACAATTGCAGGACGCGTTTATGGCCTCCTTGATTGTCATACTTCTTTCTCTCCTTCAAAAATTTCTAGATTACACTTGTCCCGTGTCAGCGTCAGCGCTCTCCTATTGTGAAGATATGTTTTCCTTTTAAATTGTAGGAAATTTCAGGCTGATAAAACATGATATAACTCAAAAGCAAGCACAATTTGATGCAAATAGATGTTTGTGACATAACCTCAAAATAGAGCACTGACATGGAAAAATAGAAAACTATGACAATCAAGGAGGCCATAAAGACGCCCTACAATTGTAGGGACGACTGACGATATGGGCCTTATTTTGCATTGAAATGAAAATAGGTTGATGTGCTGTAATTGCAGCATGTGTTATTTTTATGCTGCAAATTTGATTAGGGAGTGATGAAGCTGGTGTTTTCTACTATATATTATCAAAATATTCATTGTTAATATTTTAAACGTATAACACCCTGCTACATTTTTATTATTTGTGTTTGATAAGAAAAAAACTAAGATTTCAATAGTTGGGCCAACTGAAGTGGGAAGGGGCTCGTATATAACTCGGCGGCCGAGAGATGGAAGCAGAGAACGGTAGAGTAGCAGATCAGTTGAGTATAGTGTAGGCAATGACGTCATAAGGATTAGTCAGACATAAATAGTGGTGTATATAAATGTTTTATCAAATTAAATAAATTAGAGCATTTCTGTTTGTGGAATTCAGTGTTTTAATCCAAACCCAAAAGAACCCACGAAAATGCTACAGTATGTATTTACTATTACTCACAGGTGCCGGACAAGTATTTATTATTTTAGTATAATACAACTCATTAGTATTCTAAACTAAGCACTGGTTCAGTTCAAAAACTTTAAGCAAACGTGAAAAAAGAGATACTTACCAGTTGCATCGCTACTGTGATGAAATATTCTTCATGTTTACCAGTCCTCAGTATAAATTCCATTATATTTATTACTGATAATATGTCACTTAACAGGCTTAATGCTGTAAAAATCCCAAATAATTTGCTGAACACCTGATCCAAGTTTTGCAGAATTCGAATCGCTTTCCTGATGTAAGCCAACTCATTAACAAATTGATCCATGCTTATAGCCTCGCTATTCGAAACCCAATATTGAAGTCTACAATCGACATGAATTATTGAAAAGATAGGAAATATTTTTCAGAATGATGTATTTATTAGTTTCTCGTAGCTGGCAAGATGTGTATGAATTATACTAACTACAGTCCCATTTCGTATTGAGTGTATGCAATAGGAAAAAATTCCTGGAAGGGGCCACTCTCTCTTTTTAAATTACAGTATTTGCATAATCCAGAGAGAGATGGACGTATCGGGGTGCGTTCATTAGTAGCGTTTGGTGTTTGATTTTGTTAGTTCTGTGGTTTATACGCCTTTATACTGTGTGGTTTTTTGAATTCTCGTATTCAGCTTTTGACAAAGAAAAAAAGCGTAGGTTCTGAAACGTGTCATAGAGAAGAAGCAATCACAAAGTTACATTCTGTCTTACACAATCCAAATAGTGAGCGAACGCATCATTGATACAATATTTACGAATCGACCGCGCATGCGGATGAAAAAAATCGTGATAGCTAAGTCTATTTTGATAACCCGGTACTATTGTTGTACCTTAGGCCTCTTCCTGCTTAAATTTTAGAACATTTAAATTATATTCAATTATTAGGTACAAAAGACACCAGCACGCATAGGCAAACTCGTTGCAAACTAAACCGAGAACCTAACAGTCATCAAAAATTAGCAAGGGGGTGGGAACAACAAGACATTTCAACTTTTGAGGTCATCATTCAAGGATATAATTACTAAAATTTGACAAATATAGGTAACCTTTTCTTTGGTGGTAGGCCGTTCTAACAAAATGCTGGTGGGGCTATTCAATTCAGTTGTTATAGGTACGTGTTCGTAATTCTGAAAGGGGCTAACTTATGCCGATCGTAGTATTTTATGAACTGATGATAGTGTTCCCTGAGAAGTGTAGGTCCACGTACTTGATGCTATTTTTTTGTATATACCACATACATCGGTGTCCTTACATATTATATTCTCATTCGTTGCAACCGTCCAATATACATCACTAAGGCATCTAATGTACTGTAGCAACAAGTACATTTAAAAAAAATAACAAAAACCTGCAATAATTGAAAAGAACGCAGCTTTAGTTGTGCTACCAAATATCAGAATTCATCAAGCCGTTTGAGATGCAGGCTGTGAAACAGAAATTTTGAACATGCTTATCGAATTTTTGAAATTGAAATTCTAAAATTGAAAGTTGCGTTAAAAGTACGTTAAGTTTGATTTTATAAAGAGACAATGTCAAAAACTATCCAGTCATTTAGTAGTTGAAATTTTCTACTAAATCCGTCATTCCGCTTTTATAAAAATTTAATATACTCAATATGGCTCATTCTGATGAATCCAAGAAAATCTCTTATCTGAATATACTTTTTTACGCATTTGGTCCATATACTCACGCGCAAAAAACATATCCCTCCTTTTGAGGCAGTTAGGTAAAGAGAGAGGAATTCAGAGAGATTGGAAATATTTTCAATAGTTGTCGCGTCTCTACACTTGCTATTTCGGTTTCACGCCCCATTGCATTTTGATGGCTGCGCTGTATATGTGAATCCGTTGTCAGCATAGATATTGTTTGGTTGTAGATTTTAATATTCAATTATTTACCTTTTTGCCAATTGTTAGTTTTTCAATTTATTGCTTTATCACAAAATTACAGTCCATTCTTTTAAGTCAAATCATCATCAAGACACTGCGGAGAATCGCAAACAGAGGCTTCCCCGCACGCCGCAGAAGTATCTTACATCTCTCGCTGAAGTTGAGTTTTAAACATTACGGAAGTATAGTCAACGCCAAAGTGGCGTGCACGTCATCAAGGTGGGTGTGTTGAAAAATTTACATTGTTGCCAAACTTTTTGTAAAATAATAAAATTTATTATTTACATATCTAGGTTTATAAGCAATATTAACCTCAAATGAGAACAAAAATAATAGTATAATAAAATTATAGATCTGTACTTGCATAATCATTAAGTATGACAATTATTGATCAGATGACACTATGAAACTACCATATTTAATTGATAGCTTAAAGGTACTGAATAAAAATCCAAATGGGGTCCTCCAAATTTTATGCATGGTATTTATTTTACAGAATTCATACAGAAAAATGCATTCTAAAATTAGGTAAGCTACTGGTGTAAGCTTTTTCTGTACAATAAAGTTAGTCGGAGTTTCTTTCTTCAGCGCTGTCTGAATCTGAATCTTCATCACTCTCAAAGTTGATTATTAAAGGTTCGATGTCTGGTCGATCAAAAATTCGTTCTCTTTCATACCATTTAAAAATTTCTTGCTCAGTATGTCGAACACTATTTTTCCACATGTCTGGGGTAACCGTTTGTAGAGCCTCGTTCCACATATCCAAACAGTCTTTTTCACTCTTACCATCTCTACCAATATGTCTGTTATAGTAACCTTTTGCTATGCCCCAAATTAACTCAATAGGGTTAAATATACAATGGTAAGGAGGCAGACGAAGAACTTTGTGCCCATGTTGTTCCGCCAATTCATCAATCACGTATATTTTAGGTGGTTTGTTTCTAAAAAAGCAGTTATTTTAAGAATAGGAATAAACAAAAGAAATATAAACTGTCAACCAAAATATATATAATTAAGAAGCATTATGTACCGAGCAACAATACTCAATAGCTCTGTTTTAAACATTGTGTTTAAAAATGGTATGTTTTGATTTGTCAACCAGTCTTGGATATTTTTTTTTGTCCATGCATTGTTGGGCACTTTGTTCAATATCATGCTGTGATAAGGGGCGTTATCCAGTATAATCATAGATGGACTCTCCAATTTTTCTAATAACTGATGTTGAAACCATTTCAAAAAATTGTCCTGGTTCATCTCTCAATCGCTCAATTTTGTTTTCGAAGAAAATATCGCTTCACTACCCTCAATAAACCCATTTTCATTTCCAGCATGTAATATGTATCTAAAATATATTAGTTTTAAATTTTATAGTGCAAATTGTGTAAAAGTACATACCTTTTACCATCTGTTTTAATAGCTTTCACGCTTTTTTGGTTTCCATTTTGCCAAGAGCGACCTATGGTCCCATTTTGAAATATCCAAGTTTCATCGAGGAAGACAAACTGGTATAAGGCCTCAACCTTGGCTTGATTGTATTGCCTTAGAAATTCCACCCTTTTCAAAGCTATACTTGGTAGTTCCATGAGCCCTCGTCGCGGATTGTCCTTAAGCCACTTAAATCCAAGATCTCTAAGCAACCGCCTTAAAGACGTGGCACTACCATCAAATAATGCCCTATCTCTTAATCGAGACCATAAAGTTTGTATCGTAACTTGTTCTTCTGAAACCATGTGTAATATGACATTATAATTTAGTTAACAAATTAATGCAAATTTCTGATAAGTTATTATAATAAGATCTTACTTTTGTGATACATATTATAGATCACTTCTCGAATGGCACTTGTATCCAATGTCGCTGTGTTGGTTACACGTTTAATATAACTCCGCTTTTTCTTGGGCGATTCTAAATTTGCATCACTTTTCATACCCTCGGAAATACGACTAACTGTCCTTAAACTAACTTTTAAAGCAGCAGCAACACGCTACAAAAAATGAAATAAAATTTCACTATTATTAATATACATTACATATAATTATTAGTAACCTACCTCTTGAACAGCATTTAAAGGCAACAAAGGCCCGTTGTTGTCCCTTTCTTGCTCAAAGTAGTGCATTAACGAGGCCACGAGTTCCTTACACCGACTATTTAACTGTTTGGGCATCTTTATATACCAAAATTGCCTTTATCTACTCGTAAAATGAATAATTTTGTTTTGAAACAAACAGTTGTTGATTTACAGTATGCGGGGCCAAAGGATTTATAAAGATTTGAAATGCCACAAATTGATTCAGTGTCAAAATTAATACAAATGTCAGTTCCCAGTTTAAATAAGTTTCAAGGTGACAATGTGTCAACGCTGCGAAATCGGTTTAGTGCGTTTACATGTCGATAAGTGATTGGAGCGTTTGCAAAACATTTTATTTCGCATAATGAGTCTAAATTTATCAGAAAGCAACTTATGTGATATTTTAATAACAATGTTTATATGACTATTAACCATAATAAGAGAGTAATGACCATTTTACAATTTATATATCACATTAATATGAAACTGCAATAGAGCAATTGTTTGTGATAGAAACCTAGGCATTAGGTCGGGGAATTTTTATCGTGATGACGTGCACGCCACTTTGTTTGGCGTTGACTATACATGTAATGCTTACTGCCAGTATAAAAGATAGAAATAGAAAATCAATATACCACCACTGCCAGGTTACGCACCTCTCTTCACTACCGAGTACCATGTAAAACGATCAGTGAATACTAATTACGTAACCACTTTACTTAACTGTTTTCTGACGTCACTATAGAGCTTCCCAATAAATAAAGCTGCACAGACCATCACTACTTTACAGTTCAATGCAATGTAGAACTTAATGGCTCCAAGTTGGTGGAGAATATCTGACGCATAATACCCCAGTGTCAACGTGATATATGTTGAAGCAAACCCAACATATGCAGTAATAAAGAGATAAGCCAGCGTCTTCGTTTGACGAATTTCGGTACTTATGCATCTGACAACATTACCTGCAAAAATAAGGCTTGGCATAACCCACCATGCGTTGGAAGAAACTATGACGTAACAACCAATATTTTGCTTGATTCAACTGTCCAATGTTGTCGATATAGTCATCAAGAGAGCTTCCTATAGCGAAAATACTGACCGGTTTATGTTCGAATACGCCACTGTTAACGTAGTGTGTCTTTAACTAAGGTGAGAGCCTGTCACTTGTACAATTATAATTATATTCTAAAGAGTATGTCTTACGAATAAAAGAGGATCTATAGGTTTCAAATTTCCATTACTGACCGAGCACTTTTATATTTTGAGCAGCATAGCGCCGAGGGATGTTACATGCGATAATATTGACCTTCTCTACCAAAGTATGGATAGAATTTCTCCACTACTAACTTGATATACTACCACATTTAATTTGATTAGACTTTGACGAAAAGCATATTGACAGTTCCCTAAACATCCGGCAGCACTGTCAGAAAAATCCGAAGCAATGACTACATCATAATGTCCCATAAAGATAGAGGGTCATACGTGCGTCTGGAGATCATTCTGGAGACAAATAATACTGTTGGCCCCATCTGTTGGGCGAGTCTCCTACTCGCCAGAGCTTCATGGCCGATCTCTGCTTTTATGCGAACCACGACCGCGCAAGCCAGTTGGCGGCGTCTGTGAGGACCGTGGCAGTGACTCACCTTCTATATCGACGCGAAGTGACCTCCAATATTCTAGATGCCGCTTTGTGGTTCACCAGTCCTTTCTCGAAGCAGCAATGGGCACTATATATAACTCGGCGGCCGGGAGGCATTTTAACACTATGGTATAGGATTCGGCACCAGCCTTAATTTTATTGGTCAATTTCAGTTTATTCAACCAATAACACGCCGGGTGCCGAAATCACTACCGGAATGTTAAACAGTGCTGAGCATGGGGTCAGAATGTTATCAATTTAAATTTAAATTTACCTACTTACCTTCCGCTAAAAATACGTAAGATAATAATCAACGCACGTTGTTTCCTATTACGATATTTAATGATTTTAAAATTAATAATTTGGTTTAGCAATAAGAAAAATTACATGAAAAATTTATATATATTTATATAGGTGAAAAATTAAAGCTTCCGCCTTTTGTTGGGTACTTGTGTTCACAAAATGGTGGGCATGTGCAATCATCAAGTGGCTTCACGATGTAATGTTTAACTTTCAATTTTTAAAAAATTTTTTAATCTGTTTCTAACTTGTTCTTGTCATACAGCTGTGTGTATTTTATATAATTTTGACCATTGTACCAATTATCCAGCTTTCACCATGTTACTGGGTGTTTCCCTCATCCTTAACGTAAACAACAATTAACAACATCCTCACATACTACTCTCCTGATGATGATGGCAAAGAGCATTGAAAGCTAGAGAGAATAAAAAAAGTATAAAGAGTCGGCCTTGCTTAAATATTGTCGAAGTACCCAACAAAAGGCGGAAGCTTTAATTTTTCACCTAACTGGTCTAGACGACAATGACCACGTCTCAAGTTATATTTATATATACTTGACTTCGAAGTTGAGTCATTTATTTTAACAGTGAGTAGATCTGATCAAAAGAAATGTTTTTTTCCTTTAACATTTTTCTGGTAAAATTAAAGTAACAAAGTTATAGCCCTTTACAAGTTTGAGTACCGCCCTGTCTCAATAATAATATTATGTGCTCGTGTTTGGCAACAACGGATATAATCCGCCTTATCCGTTCATCGCATCGGAAACAAAAAAGCGAAAGAATTTGAAACGATGTTTTTACTACAATGTACAATTTTATTCAGTTGTATTCAGTCGATGTGTCAGTCGGTAACGCGTGAGTGAATAGTGGTGTTTGTTGCGTGGCTCAAACGAATTAAAAAATGGCACATGTTTACGAAAATGCTGAATGTAGTACAAAGGGCTCGTGAATCAGGTGACTTAAGACCTCACAGGGGAGGGCATGCCGGTGCTCCAAGACCGCACGATCACATCTGTATTGCGTCCGCACTGAAATACTTGTCGGGAGGATACTTTATAAAACAAGGTAACATTTTTTTTTATTTTTTTTTTATTTTTACACACATATTTTGGTTTATCTAAATCGTTCTACAATCATTATCTGAAAATTAATGACTCAACTTCAAAGTCACCCTGTATATATTAGTAGAAGCAGTTTATTGGTAACATTCTGACACTGTTTTCAGCACTGTTTAACATTCCGGTAGTGATTTCGGCACCAAGCTTGTTATTGGTTAAATAAATTGAAATTGACCAATAAAATTAAGGCTGGTGCCGAATCCTATACCATAGTGTTAAAATGCGGCCGGGAGACGGAAGCAGAGTACTGAATACGGTAGAGTAGCAGAGCTGAGTGGAGTATAGTGCAGTCAATGGCGACATAAGAATTAGTCAGACATAAATAGTGGTGTACATAAATGTTCTATCAAGTTAAATAAATTAGTGTATTTCTTTTTGTGGAATCCAGTGTTTTAATTCACACCCAGAAGAATCCAGAAAAACGCTACATTGGTGTCAGGTGTGGGGTGTGGATTATTGGATATTTAGTGAAAATAAATCGGACGATCAGTGAAGGAGGAATGGCACGATTGGTTGATTTGAAAAATTCCGATTTAAAGAGTGAGCTTGAGGAAAGAGAGTGCGACACAGCTGGAAAGAAAGCAGAATTACAGGAGCGGCTTCGTCTAGCACTGATTGAGGAATGTAAGGACCCGGATATTTTCATTTTTACCGGTGCAGGGGATATTGGTTTGATGCTGCAAAACCTTTCGACCAAGTTAGAACACAAGCTGAAGGAAAATTGTGCCGATCTTTTAGAAAACTCTACCAAGTTAGAAAAAAGGTTCGTGAAAAATTATGCCGATCTTTTCGAAAACTCAGCCGAGCTAGAAAAAAAGGCTCGTGAAGAATTGTACCAACATAGAAGGAAAGCTCTTGGAAAATTGTGCCGATCTTTTAGAAAACTCAGCTAAGTTAGAAAATAGGCTCGTGGAAAATTGCGCCAACCTAGAAGGAAGAGATCTTTTAGAAAACTCAGCTAAGTTAGAAAATAGGCTAGTGGAAAATTGCGCCAACCTAGAAGGAAAACTCTTGGAGTTACACGAATGTACAGCCTAATTAGAAGAGAAGTTTTTCGAAAATACGGCCAATTTAAAAAAAAGAATTGGAAGATAAAATTATGGAAAAATCTTGCGAGCTGGAAAACGGATTGTTACTCTGGGGGACTGAATTCAAGAAGTGCAAGGCAAGTTTGTTGGTTTAGACGACTAACGACTGCGAGGACTTCCGTGGGAAAAATCAAGTGAGGTTGGAGCTTCTGTTGGACCAGCTGGTCATCTACAACGCCTGGGAATGTCTACCGACGTCAGTTTGAGGCAACCGCGAATGCAAATGGTTGGTCATCGACCGAAAAGGCAACTGCACTCACTTTGGTCATACGAGGAGATGCTACAGCTATTCTTCAAATTATATCACCCGAATAGCAAGAGGTCTACGAACAACTAGTAGGACATTTGAAGATGCGATATGGCTGGTCACGGCGAGTCCTTGCAGGAGTTTGAAGCGGATATTGCGCGGTTGGAACGACTAGCATATCCCGATGTTCAGGAAAGGATAATGGAGCGATTGTCAGTTCGAGCATTCCTGGACGGACTTCGTGAAGGTGAAATTAAAATTCGAAGCCGCTAAAAACACAAATAAAAGCCAGGTTCAAGTCAGCCAGATGGTACCAGGAGATAACGAGTTCGAAGAGTCCGTCAAGCGCATTTTTAAGGAACTTGATGGTGAACGTCGCCGCCAGAACAGCAGGTTGGAATTTTGGAAATGTGGAAAAATAGGTTAGGAGACGCTGTCCTGAAGGTGCTAGCCATCATCTGGCAAATCCGGAAAACTAAGGGAGGTCGATGTGTCGTCGATCTGTAGCCAACTAGCCCCATCGGTTAAACATCGGACTAATAATGTTTATGTCGATGCTTTTGTGGATGGGACGATCATCCAAATGGCGACTACGTACGGCGACGGGAAACCGAGCAAACGTGTACGGTGAAGTAAGCATCGCATTTGGAACAGGAAAAGCTACATTCGAGCATTCGGCGATAGAAGCTGATATTGAGGACGAGGTAATCATCGGAATGGACTTCATGGACACAAAGGGCTTCGAGTTGAACTTTAAGCAAGGAATTTTGAGAGTCACCAATGAGGAGGTCATATTACACCGGGAAAGGAATGGAAACGTACGAGTTCTATTGCCTGAAGACGCCGTGATCCCAAAACGAAGCGAAGTTGTATTGAATGGCTCGGTAGAGGGCCAGACTACAGACGGAGAAATAGTCATGTTTGAACTGGAAGAACTAATTAGATATCGGGATGTATTCGATACTGGACAAAAAGGAAGAACCAATATAGTCCAGCACAAGATCAATATGGAAAATGCCCGCTCCATCCGGCAGATGGCAAGAAGGCTCCCACTTGCTAAAAGGGAGGAGGCTGACAAGATCGTAGACAGGATGGCTAACGAAGGAATCATTGAACCGTTCAACAGTCCATGGGCCTCACCGGTAGCTTTGGTTAAAAAGAAACATGGTTGAACCAGATTTTGTGTGGACTACCGAATGTTAAACAACGAGACCAAGAAGGACAGGTACCCTCTACTATGTATTGATGATACTCTCGATACCCTGGCTGGATCAAAAATGTTTTCCACCCTAGACCTAAAAAGCGGAAACTGGTAAGTAGAATTGGCCCCTGAAGATCGGGAGAAGACAACATTCACGGTGGGCACCGGATCATGGCAGTTTAATGTGATGCCATTTGGCCTGTGCAATGCTACTGCCACCTTTGAAAGGCTGATGGACACGATTCTAAGAGGACTATTCTGGAAAACGTGCCTGGTTGACCTTTACGACATTATCGTGGCGGGAAAATAATTTGGGGACCACATGAAGAACCTAAAGGAAGTTTTCTTAAGGCTACGAGGTTCTGGCTTGAAATTAAACCCAAAAGAAATGCTACCTGTTTCAAAGAGCTATGCAGTATCTGGGCCATGTTGTTTCCAGTCCGGGAGTCGCGGTCGATAAGGAGAAAATCCAGACTGTAAAAGAATGGCCAGTTCCGTAGGACACACGTGAGCTACGCAGCTTCCTAGGATTGTGTACGTATTACCGACGTTACGTGGAAGGATATGCTTACATCGCAAAACCACTGACCAGGCTGACAGAAGAGGAACGCAAGTTCCAATGGGATCAGGATTGCCAACCAGCTTTTACCCACTTGAAAGAGGCTTTCACAAGCGCCCCTATACTCAGCTATCCGCTGCCAAAAGGAAAAGGTGCCGTATTATTCCAAGTCCAGGAAGGCAAAGAAGAAAAGGTCATTGGTTATTTTAGCAAAACACTGTCCAAACCAGAGCGTAACTATTACGTTACCCGGAGGGAGTTGCTAAAGGTAATGGAACATTCCTACAAATACCTCTATGGCGGAAAATTGTTACTCCGGACCGACCACGCAGCTTTAAAATGGCTTCTCCAGTTTAAGAATCCAGAGGGTCAAGTTGCAAGATGGATAGAGAGGCTGCAAGAGTTTGACTTCGACATCGAATATCGAGCGGGAAAACTCCATAGAAATGCAGATGCCTGATCGAGGATTAGAGGATTGTAACCATTGCCAGCGGGCAGAGGGGAAAGACGCCTAAGTATTAAGAACCACTATCGTTTGTGATACTTGGCAAAATGAAGACCTCATTAGAGATCTCCAAATAATTCTAAACTGGATGAAAGAACAACGGAAACCAGCCTGGGAAGAAGTTGCCAAGTATTTATTGGGCACATTAGAATTCTCTCGTTATGGACGACGGATTCTTACTGTGTAAAATGGTGGACCACGACGGCAAAGAGGAAAGAAGACAAATCGTTATCCCCAGATGTCGGCACCCGAAGCTGCTAGAAGAAATCCATTCCGGTGTGTCAGGAGGTTATCTCGGAGTTACAAAAACGCTGGGAAAAGTGAGGGAAAGATTTAACTGGGTCAATAGCAAGGAGGACGTGAAAGACTGGTGTAGTAAATGCGTTGTGTGTGCGGCAAGTAATGGACCGTAAAGGAACCCAAAAACTTCGATGCGCCAATACAACGTGGGGAGCCCCTTTGATTGGATTGCTATTGATGTGGCAGGACCCTTTCCAGAAAGTAAAGCAGGAAATAAATACATCGTTGTGGTAATGGATTACTTCAGCAAGTGGGTTGAGGCATACGCTCTACCAAATCAAGAAGCCTCTACGGTAGCCTATGCTTTAGTAAAGGAATGGATCTGTCGATTTGGTGTACCTTTAGAGTAGTTGCATTCGGACCAAGGTCGCAATTTCGAGTCAAATCTGTTCCAAAGTATCTACCAAATCCTTGGGATTAAGAAGACCAGGACTACTGCCTTACAGCAGTCAGATGGAATGGTGGGGCGCATGAATACGACCATTAACCGGTATCTCGCTAAGGTAGTCTCTAGCCATCAAAGAGACTGGGATAGTTTTCTTCACCTCTTCTTACTGGCTTACCGATCGTCGATTCATGAAAGCACAGGAGAGACCGCGGCTCGAATAGTTATTGGAAGAGAACTTCGTCTCCCATGCGATCTAAAGTTTGGCTGCCCACCAGGAACTGATATTGCCGGAAAAGACTACGTAAGTGAGCTGAGACCGGATGGAGGAAGCTTATGACGTTAAAGCCAAAGACCAGAGGTATGGCAACGGTGATACGGTTTGGCTTTACGACACAAAGAGGGGAAAACGGATGTCGCCCAAATTTCAATCAATCTGGGACGGGCCATATAAAGTTGTGGATGCCATCAACGATGTTCTCTTCAGGATTCAGAAGGCAGCACGCGGTAAAGCCCGAATTGTACATTTCAACCGCCTTGCACCTTATCATGGAAACAACGAAGATGCGGCGGTGCGGCAAATCCAACCAGAACCGGACATGTAATTTGACCAATTTATGGATTACAATGCCATAAGAGTCGGTATGGCGTGACATGTGAAGCACAGTAAGACCTGTTTACCACTTCACCCGAGTCTACCCTGGCACACTGTGTAGCTCAAGACTTGCGAATGTCTAGTTACCAAGAAAGCTTCGTATCAGAAACCGAATTACGAAGATGTTTGGAACGCTTTATGTTTGCTTAGAGAAGTTTTGCTTGCCGAGGACCTGAGAAAACTGGCAATACCTAAGCTGGCATGTGGACCGGACAACCTGGACTGTATAATCATCTGAAGCATGTTTGAGAGAGTCTACCGGTAAACAGGCATTCGATTTCTGGTATGTTATCACAGTCCTAGGCGGCTACCTCCTGGAAACAGTGTGGCTTGTTACTTCTTCAAGAATTCCTACTGCAAGAGAGGGCCGTCGTGCCGATATCGACATCCACCGCCAGTAAGATCATTCCGGGACGGAATGACTTTAGGGGGGGGGGCAGTGTGACAAATAGTACTGTTGGCCCCATCTGTTGGGCGAGTCTCCTACTCGCCAGAGCTCCATGGCCGATCTCTGCTTCTACGCGACACACAAGCCGCTTGGCGGCGTCTGAGAGGACCGTGGCAGTGACTCCCCTAGATCGACGCGAAGTGACCTCCAATATTCTAGATGCCGCTTTGTGGTTCACCAGTCCTTTCTCGAAGCAGCAATGGGGACTATATATAACTCGGCGGCCGGGAGATGGAAGCAGAGTTCTGAATACGGTAGAGTAGCAGAGCGGAGTGGAGTATAGTGCAGTCAATGGCGACATAATTAGTCAGACATAAATAGTGGTGTACATAAATGTTCTATCAAGTTAAATAAATTAGTGCATTTCTTTTTGTGGAATCTCGTGTTTTATTCCCAGACCCAGAAAACCGCTACAATTCCCTTCCCAATCATATTCAAATACAATTAACATGGTATCTTCAAGATGTCAAAATATGTAATAAGATAAATAAACAAATCTGATAACAATAATTTCACTTATAAAATAGACTCTGCATTTATTCATGGTGGACAAAAATTCTTAGTCATATAAAAATGCATAAAAGGTTTAATTGCAATGACAATTCTGCGCCGATCAAGCCAACAAAGCTTTACATGAATGTACATGCGCAGTATTTACCTAGAGTTTATTTCATTATCATTATCTACTTAGGGGGGTACATTTAACTTTTCCTTAGTAAAATGTGGTAAGTAATGTCGATTTCTTAGGTCAGTAGTGGAGATAAACTTTATACCACAACATCGCAGGCGGCGTACCACTATGCGCACACCAAGGGAAAGTTCGATTGGTAATTCAAACTTCACCGTAGTTATTCCCTGCGCTGAAAGAA